TTTGATCCTGGGACCTGGTGGGCCAGTGTTTGCACAGTGGGGTGTGTGTGTGTGTCCAGATGTGTATACTGTATGTAGTTAGTGCCACAGAGGTACACGGCTGGGAGGGCTTCAGGGCCAGATGAAGGGACTTTACTCCCCTGCTGGAGTTTAAGGGGTCTGGTGAGAGAAGACACGGAAAGCAAATCTTGTTCACGTTGTAGAACATTCATTTAGCACTTTCCAACCTTTTTGATGTTCAGAATGTTTAAGGATGCAAAAATGACTGGAGAAATGTTAGTATATTTTTGTACAGTGAAGACACAAGGACCTGTAAGAAAAAAAAAGCTCAATATAAAGATAGAATACAAACAAAAACCAAACAAACAGTGAATTCTAATTATTTTTACTATCATATAGTTATACTGCTGCTTTACTCTGAAATCGTGTTGTTCAGCACAAAAAATGTATGCTTACATGTATGTTTTGTTTTACTTTTCGTTTTTGGTTTTCCCCAGTAATTAATTTTGCACCTTAGTGAAAGGAAACCTTGACTGACTGTGTCTTGGTCTTGTGATGCATTTTATAGAACATACTTTGAGATTGTGCAAGCCCTACTTGTGTTTTGGGTGTTTTAAAAGTTGTAGTACCACATAATGTGTCACTGAAACAGCTGAAGTATCTCAGCAACAAAAAAAAAAAGAGGAAAAGAAAACCAGAGGAAAGAAGTGTACCAGTTGTTTCAGAGGCCTTAATTGGAGAGGAAAAAAAATCTCGGGAGAATTTTCTTAATTTAATTTTTAAGTTTTGATGTTTTTTTCTTTTAGTGTTAGGAAACACTAAAATGTGTTTTATTTACTTTTACTTTTCGCAGCATTAATTTGATGTTAGTAAACCTACATAATCAGGAAAGAAATGGAAAGTAGTTCTGTGTATTACATTTAATTTCTTTTGATTTCTCTTGTCAGGTTCTACATGTGTGAAGTATATTTTTTTATATTGAAGTAATATAAGTTCAAACTCTCCAGAGAAAATAATAAATCCTGAGTACCCATGAATTATGGAATGAAAATGGCAGATACAAAATGTGTTATATCATGTACTTCCTGTTCATCTAAATTTGCCTTTTCTCTGTGTGTGAAGTATTCGTAACAGATTGCTCACACTGAGTTGTCAGTGGTAATCTGCTTGTAGGGTCTAGTGTTGTTCGGTTTTGGGCAGGTGACTGCTATTGCAAATGTTGAAATGAAATACAGGTACCTTGCTAAACGTCTTGGGTAATTACATGATTTGGTCTTTGAGACATCCTGCAGATGTCTTCTCTTTGTCATTGAAAGAATTCAAATTCCTATTTTTGATAGCGATTGCAACGTGTGCCATTTTAACACTTCTTCACCCGGGGCTTACTACCTTTGGCTGGGGAGATTAACAAAATGCTACAAAAATGAGTAAAATATGCACAAAAATAGAGACCATTTTTATGTAATTTTAATGTTTGCAGTTACCTCATACACCGTACATTCCAAAATGAAATTTGTTATACTATACATACTACCAGACATATCACTTTAAAATGTTCGTTATGGGAAAATGTATAATCATAGATATGTATCTAAAGTGTATCTGTATAGCCATGATATCTACAAAGGATCCATGCACAATAAAAGATTTATTATTCTTAATCATGTTGCAAGTTTGGGCATATATTTGTCTTTGAATTACTCATTTAGTAAATGTAGCAATGATGGGGCTTCTTTTTAATATTGGCTACCAGGGGTCTGTTGAAAACATCTAGACGTTGAAATGATCAGTTGAATCACTTTTCTGTATCTATGTAAGTAACATAGATTCATTCATTCATTAATCATGCAAAAACAACAAACATTAACTGATTCCAGCTTCTGAAATGTAAGGATTTTATTTTATTTTTCCCGAATTTGAATCTTAATAAATTGAAGCTTTTCTGACTTTGTTTGTGCTGATGGTTTTACAAAACATTTGAGTTTTCTCTAAACTCTGAAGAACTTCAATGGTCACATTTTAAAGGTCACACAACATCCTCTTTTACAACAAGTTTAGCGAAGTCTCAAAGCTCCCCAGATCATGTCTTTTAAGTTTATCTCTAAAAATCCACTCTGCTCCAGTATCTAATCATGCCTATAAATCTCTCTATTTCTGTCCTGCTCAGAACAGGCTGTTTCTGTGTCTGTAGCTTTAAATGTGAGTGAGCTGTGTCTGACCTGTATTGTTTACAGTTACAGGTCACAAACACCTAGTTGTTGGAGTGTCACCCACTTGGGGTAGGGGTTACTGTCCTTTGTGATGTCATGAAATCTCCAAACAACCTGTTTTACCACAAATTTTCTGAAAAGATGGAGAGGATGGACTTTCTCATGATTGGGGGGGGTTTGTAGACAGATAGGGACACATGGCAAAGTGTATTTTGCATAATAAGTGTCCTTTTAACACTTTTCTATTAATTTCAATGTATGGAAACATAAGACATATTTTGATAACCATATATTTAAGATGTAGCCCTTATTGATGCAGCATGTAACCTCCAAACTCAACACTCCAACATCTGCTCTCTGTCAAAAGGCTGACCTATCAAATAAAGGAGCAGTTACTGTATCTTTAAGCTCCTGTGAGGAATTTATGGTTTGTGATGGAATCCCATCCCTAAAAAAATGTGCAGCATGCAGTTAATCACCTTATCTGACAATTACCCCGCAGCAGCGATTTAAGGCATTACAAATAACTATATATAAACAATCAGTCTTTTTACTTGTTTTGTTTTTTAAGTCATATAGAGACATCCTTTTTCATTTAATTCTGATCTGTAACCAGTAAAAATCTCCTCACAGGAGCTTTAATAACTCATTTATTGTTATTTGTTCGGTTGCTTAATGATAACAACAGTACTTGCCTGTAAAGAACATGCAGTGTTTTATTAAGTAGACAACACTTTTAATGACTGATCAAGTTTGCAGTAGCTTGGTGTTACAATGTATTATTATTATTATTTTTTAAATCATTCAGTTGGAAAATAATTTAGACGCCAACGTCCAGCCAAGAAACCGAATAGTGTGGACACATGTCGTGTAGCAATCGAAACTGCTACCTGAAACAAGTAGACTGAGCGTCACATTAAAGGACCCCCTTTACCAAAACATCATCTTTAGACTGAAATGAAACTAAAAATGTTTCGTGTTTTCCGAGAGGAACTCGAAGACAGTTGGTGAACAGCCATAAAGCTCAGCACTGAAACTGGTTTAAAAGACGAGGCACTTAGCAGCTGTTTCTTTGTCCAATCAAAGGGTCTGTGAGTTAAATATGCATTTGTACATTTGATTGCTTAAGATATTAGACACTGAAGTGCAGCGGCTTCATACTCCTAGTCTGCACTTTTCCATCATTTACTCTTCTTTCATTCTGCCCTTCAAGATAAAAAAATGTCGACCACCAGCCAAGCACACAACAGTATGACTTGAATTTCATTACAAATATACCTCTTTTTTTATATTGTTGTCTTCAGAGACAGCTTTGTGTGTGTGAGAGAGAAACAGAACATGCTGAATTAAAGCTTCTACATCATAAGAGCCCATGTTCATTGCACAAGCTCACCTAAGAGGTGTAAACAAGAGAGCCGTGATTGATGATGAGGGTGAAAGTGGGCTCACCCGTCTCTGTCACCATTCTCTGTACAACGTGAGCCCTTGTTGAGAGAAAGACTGGATCGCGCTCAAAAAAAGGGGGGTAAACAAGCTTTCCCTGTCCTGTTGCTTTGACAGGAGTAAACAATGACAGAGGAGGGACGTTCCTGCTGCCCCTCGGAGGTCTGAGCGCCTCATCCGGCTGCGGCTCAGCTCAGTGTAAACACACAAACACTCCCTGGTGTCAGTGTGACTCTGCTTACAAAGGTTCATTGAGATCTAATGGATGCTGTGGCTCTGAACCAACAGAGCACACGGCTGGTCATCCAGCTTTGGTGATTCATGTTACTCAATAGGAAAACCAGTGGATCAGGAACTAAAATAGTTCACCTTTTAACTGTGACGCTTTAGTTGGGGATATCATTCAGTTCACACACAGAGGCAACAATTATGTGAATGTTATATTGATCTGCGGAGACTTATACTTTCTTTCTCTTGAGTAAAAACTTTAAATCAGACTCAAACTCATTCTTTTGAGAATTAGTTAAAATCAACACTGCTTATCCAGTATTGAAGACTGACCTTTAACCTTTACCGGGTGGCACAACTGTTACTATCTCACAGATAAACAAATGCACATTCACTTATTCATTGAGATTATATTTTTCAACTATGGTGATTTAAATGTTTCTTAGATACATATCATCATACTTATCACCTTTAGAGCTTTTAGGCCCGTGTCATATCTCCAGGTACTGACCACTGTTTATCAGAGTTTCTTAATTGCCATTCCTCTTTAACCACCATTGTTGAAGACAGGTTTATTTGGAGAAGCCACATAGCAAATGTGAGGATGAAGAGGAAGAGTAGACTGATGGGTGTGTGGAGTGATGAAGCCCAGCGGAGAGACAGAGCAGGCTGATGCTCGATTAGGCCAAAACAGAACTTGTTTTTCATTTTCAGACGGGTTAGCGAACATGCAAAGATTCCAGTGATTGATGCATTAGTTAATACAGTTATATGGGCCTCTTTGTATGTATACTTATTACGTATTGATGCTCAGTCCAGATCACTATGATCCTCAATCTGGATTGATTCATCCAGGCAGCAGCAGTGATGGAGGAGGGTTCCCTCAACCCTTATCCCCACCATCTTTTGTCTTTTACCAACATCCATCCTGTCATCATTCGATTATGAAGAATACTTCACACACACACACACACACACACACACACAGCAGGCAACCTCCCTGTCGCTCCCTGACTCCTCTGGGTGCTGTGGAGGAGGTGCTCCTTTCTTCGTCTCTCACCAGAGCTCGACTGGTTATCCAGCCTCGGAGACCGGCTCTGCCACTTCAGGAAACCCTTCTGCAGCTGCTGCTCTCCACCGACTCACAGTGACACAAGAGAGAGCAACCAAACTTAAAAAAGGTTGAGAGATCCAGCTCAGCTTTAAAGGTAAGGCCACCTGCAAATATCTCTTTCACTCTGGGATGTTATTCACGATTTTAGAGTAAAAGAAAAAGATTAAACCATGGATTATGCGTGTTGGAGCCCTTTGCACTGGTTTCCATTTACTTCTGCATGATATGTAAATAGAAATAGCAGACATTTAATCTCTGTTATAATATTGTGTGTTAAGCCTTTTCAGATTTATATAATTTCAGGAAAATACATACAGTCATTTAAAATCACAGATCAGCTTAGAACAAAATGAGACAGAGGGTCCTATCCATCTAATATTCTTCCAACAGATGTTTATTATCATTACTAATGTTAGAAACCAAAAGCTGCCTTTAAAAGAAAAGAATATGGATAATTATCTCCACAGGACGTCAGTGGAAACTTAAAGTCTTTCAAAAATTTGTAGTTAAGAGAGAGAAAATTTTGTGAAAAATCGGTTCTGTTACAGTCTAATTTTTCTCCCAAGCCTCTGTTCAAGTCTTGAACACACACGTGACAGTTCCAGCACTTTGTGGAGGTTGGCATGCCCTGGACCAGACCCCAGGTTGACCTTCATGCTGGTAGAGCAGAGACCATGGTTCATTATAGCATAGACGACCACCACTACGAGGGCTCCCTGTTCCCCGCCTCCACCCTCATCCCTGTCACTGTCATCTGCATCCTCATCTTCATCATCGGGGTGACCGGAAACACCATGACCATCCTCATCATCCAGCACTTCAAGGACATGAAGACAACGGCCAACCTCTACTTGTCCAGCATGGCGGTGTCCGACCTCATCATCTTCCTCTGCCTGCCTTTTGATCTCTACCGCCTGTGGAAGTACGTGCCGTGGCTCTTCGGCGAGGCGGTTTGTCGCTTCTATCACTACATCTTTGAGGGATGCACCTCCGCCACCATCCTTCACATCACGGCCCTGAGCATCGAGCGCTACCTGGCCATCAGCTTCCCTCTCAGGAGCAAGGTGCTGGTGACCAGGCGCAGGGTCCAGTACATCATCCTCGCCCTGTGGGGTTTCGCTCTGGTCTCGGCAGCTCCAACACTCTTCCTGGTTGGAGTGGAGTATGACAACGACACACACCCCGACTACAATACAGGGCAGTGCAAACACACCAGCAACGCCATCATCTCTGGACAGCTGCACATCATGCTCTGGGTGTCCACCACCTACTTTTTCTGCCCAATGCTCTGCCTCATCTTCCTCTACGGCTCCATCGGGTACAAGCTGTGGAAAAGCAAAAATGACCTACAAGGCCCCTGTGCTTTGGCCCGGGAAAGGTCCCACAGGCAAACAGTCAAGATCCTAGGTGAGTGAGTCATTTAATTTCATAATTCTTTTTCAACCCTGACAACAGGAGTTTGTTGCTCTAATGCTGATATCAGGGAGCAATCAGCGCGCACAATGATCAAAAACTGAAAGACTAAGATTAAACAACTACCACTGGGCGTGTCTTTGTTTTGAGGCGTTCATCCTCAGCTTGTAACCGTCTGTACAAAAATAAATCTGGAGTGTGAAACAGATGGATGTTCTGTACTGGGACTTTAAAGTTTCACTTTTGCAGTTTGCAAAGTAAACCTGTACATAATGATCATCTTTCTTTTTCCTCAAAAGAGCAGAGCCATTTCAATTTTCTGGAGTTAGGCCCTGTGATTTTGCTTTCTAAAACCTCTTTGTGCTTTTTTTTTTATAAACAAAATGATAGAGGCAGACGATTCAGGAGTGGCATTAAGCCAGATATCTCTCTGTTCACAGTGTGCCTGTCTGTCACTGTTGCTTAAAGAAATCACCACGCCAGTAAGAGATTTGTGCTTTTCTGCTCTGGCTCTTTTGTTTAACAGATATACAAAGAAGTCATTTTTTCCTCTGTTTTAAACCTAAAGTTTCTTCACCTCCTTTGTTCACTCTAGTTCTCTAAAAGTTCTTTCACTGTGCACTGTGTGTCTTTTATCCTGTTATTTTAGGACGAGAACGCTGCTGTGTTCATGTTGATATCAACGGCTAAATTGTTCTGTTTTGTCAGAAGCAAATCACGTCCTGCCACTGCACATTCTGATTGCTTTAATTTGCAGCTCTGGCACATTGCACAGGAAACCCTGTTTTAGAGTGAACGACCATTGCCACTCTGTATTAGCCAAATATTTAGTTATGAAACGTACCATTAGGATATTAAAGCTGTTCATTAGCTGAACACACGTGGCACAGAGCTCATGTTGTCAGATGACCAGCCATTTGTATCCACATTTGTTGAATCCCAAATTGGATTGTCATCAGAGGCCTCCATAAATCAGACCTAATGCAGATTTGCATGCTCCCACAGTCCTTTTCAATCTGCTCCTGTCACACACCTCTGGAGTCCCTCTGTGTTTGCTGCTCCTCGTACGACACAATCAGTTCTGTGTGTCATCTGTCCACTCTGTGCACACAATGTAGGTGTTCAATTTATAGATAACTGTTATATAAGGCAGAAATGCCTCTCTTTTAATTATTGAACTGACATTTATTAGCCTTGCTGAATTACTGCCTCCATCAGACAAATTGATGGCGATTTTATCTGCTGGGCTTCTTGATCGATATCAGTGACTCAGTGATGACCTCAACAGGCGTTACATTTCCACACCAAAAAGCTTTTTCTGATAAGTGACATGTTTTCTTCACAGCTTTTCTGCTGGATACGTGCACTAATTTGCTCACATACTTGCCTGTGCTGAAAGTGTTATTTTATGGTTGGAGCCAATTACAGGCCAACATCATTTAAGAGAACAAGAGAAGTAGTGTGGTTGTGTGAGTGAGTGTGTGTGTGTGTGTGTGTGTGTTTGGAGGCTGAAAGAGAAGTCCTTTGGTTGTAAATTGTAGCTGGTCATTAATAAATGTCGAGGGGTTAGCACTGCCCATAGATCAGAGGTTACTTAAAGAGCCTGAAAACCAATATTTTAATCAGACTCAGTATAAAAAGGTCCCATATAGATAAGCTGTTATATGCCAAAGTTATAAAGACAACACTCTTATTTCCCAGGTGATATTTTATTATTTCTGTGTGTTTATCTTCTCACTGGTTTTGGATAAGCAAGGCCCTTTTGAAAAAGTCATTCATTTAAATTGAGCAATAGAAGAAATTAATATTACGGAGGCCTAAGTGGCCATATATTCATACATATCATATCTCCTCCATTTCACTGTGATATAGAGTAATATTGTTGTTTTCTTGAGATTTTTAGATTTCCCCAGGACGCTGGCACTAAAAAGATTGGGTTAAATTGGAGTGAAAAATGTGGCTGTTTGTTTTATCAAGTGCAGTTTACCCTGAAAAGCTTTGTACTATAGAAATAAGCTTGAATTCAACATTGCCTTGTGGCATGCCATGGTCTGGTCTATCACAGCGACCCACCTATTGTTTTTTGTCTTCTAAATTAGATCGCCAAAAAAATAATTATTCTGCCAATATTAAAAAGAAATCCTATGAGTAAAAATGAATCTGTCACAATGGGAAAACTAGATTTGTTAACCTGAGATACCAAGAGAAATAATTCAAGGTCTTAAAAAAAGTGAACAGGAAATAACTTGTTTTCACTAGAGAATTGAGATTTTATGTATGGATGCATGTCTGCTTTGGGCTTCAGTGCAGAATAGAGAAATTCTAGTTGCAAAAAGATGCTAGTCTCAGTTTATTTATGCAGGGTTGTGTACCTCCTCTCCTATTTGAGAGAGCATAAACTTGATAAGAGAAGATTACAATGAAAATGAGGCGGTTGTTGAGTATGTGAAAATCCAACAGCTTTCCCATTGTCCTCATGGTTATTGATTTTCATGAAACCAAAACAAATATTACAGCTATGTTTTTATATTTCTTATGCAAACGTAACTTATTTAATTTAGGCTTTTGCCTTTATTTGGATGAGAAAGCTGTAGAGAGAGAGACTTATGGATGACATGCATCAAACAGCCTCCAGAAAGAGAGTCAAACCTGCAACTAGTGTGATGAGGACTGTGGCCTCATGCCTGCTCATCCAACTGAACTAAAGCAGCACCACATCCTAGTGATATCTAACTTTGACATTCAGCTCTGGCAGGACACAGAAAATACACCCAACTGAAAGTGTTGGCCTATAAGGTGGCCTTTTGTAGAGGAGATATGATGGCTTTCTGGCTTTAATGAATAGTTAAACATCTGGGGTAATTTGATCTCTTGACTAAATTTGACATGAGGAAATTGATTTATCCATGTTATCCATAATTGTGTTGCAAATGCACTAAGCTCCTGAAGCTACCAACAACTGAATATTTTCATCCCAAATTTGACCCAATATTTTTTATGCCATCCCCTTGGAGAATAATTCACATTATTCATTATACAGTGAGGGTTGGCCGACGTGTGAATGCAGCAGATATATTAGGCAGCAATATTCAGGAAGATGCAACGCGAGAGAGTGGGAGGGGTTGAAGACTTTAATATCCTGCGACAAGTGCATGACCGCTGCCATCTTGGTGCATGAGATGAAACTGCTTCATCACAATTTCTGTTTTGAAGTATTTTCTTCTCCACTCTTTTGTTGATACCGTGCTACAAGCCAAGAATTATCATCATAACATCAGACTGTTGATTCCTTCGCCCACCCTTTCTGCAGCTTAGTTATTCCATCATGTCGCCCCTCTGTCCGACAGTGATAGTCTCCCTGATGGGTCCATTTTTGAACAAGAAACTCAGGGAGATTTCAGGGACAGCCTGCCTGAAAGTGTGTATGTGGACAGCGGACAGCTTAGCGCATAATGTGTTTTGTTTGTTGTTGCAAAGTGTGTAAAAAAGTCCATTTATGGTTCTAAGAAGGTGTTACATGTCATGCTATCTCAAGGAATAAGTGCTTTACAAAAGTCATGTCCCCTTCCTGATATTTTTTCTCCCTCAGTGGTGGTGGTGCTGGCTTTCATCATCTGCTGGCTGCCCTACCACATTGGCAGGAACCTCTTTGCTCAGGTGGACGACTACGACACGGCCATGCTGAGTCAGAAGTTCAACATGGCCTCCATGGTGCTCTGCTACCTCAGCGCCTCCATCAACCCTGTCGTCTACAACCTCATGTCTCAGAAGTACAGGGCTGCAGCCAAACGCCTGTTCCTACTGCATTGTCGATCCGGACAAGCCAACCAGGGCCAGAGGCAGCTCTCCCACATCTCCACCCTGAACGAAAGCCTGACGGTGGTTTGAGAAGCCACACTCTGAGAAGTGGCTTTTTTTTTTTTTTCCTCATCAAAGGAGAGATTCTTTAGAGTTCAGGAGCTGCAGCTAAAGAGGAACAACCCCTAACAACGTACAGACCAATGGGGTTGAGATTTGCCCAGCACTCAATTGCTCAGTTTAAAGAGAAATGAGGATTTTCAAGCATGACACATTTAAATGTATCTTACAAGAACATTTGAATTCAGCTAACTCTGACAGAAACCATTATATCTATTTTTCAACCTCATGTCAAGTATTTACCTCTACCATAAGTTTGGTTCTCTTGCTTCATGTCATGAACACATGCACCATTTCAGTTCACAAAAATCATCAATCCACAGAACTGATTAATAAGTGATCCCTCTCTGTTCATGACAAATGGTGTTCATTGAAATGTCTGCTCATTTATATTGTTTAATCGTTGTCTTAGCTGCATCGAATTTGTTGAAATGTTGTTATCATGCTGTATGTTGGATGTCCTTATTAATGAAGAGAATCAAAACAAGTAAACCCATTAGCTGTGGAACATTCGTTGACCTGATAAGGTTTGATTGTGTGTGTCTGCATGTGTGCGTTCATATGTGTTTGTATGTTTGCAGGGCTTTGTACCTTCTCTCCTGTTTGATAGAACATATATTTGATGAAAGTAGATTACTATGGAAATGGGCGCAGTTTTGTGTGTGTGTGTGTGTGTGTGTGTGTGTGTGTGTGTGTGTGTGTGTGTGTGTGTGTGTGTGTGTGTGTGTGTGTGTGTGTGTGTGTGTGGCATACAGAGGCCACCTGAGCCTTAAGGTTTTGGGGCTGCGTACGTGCTGGTCATCACATGTAATCTGACACTGCTATTACATTACCTGGGCTCTGAGTTAGATTTGTGCTGGCAGCCAATGTCCCTGCATCACCATATTCAAAGTAATGGCTGCTCTAAAAGCATTTCAAAGAGGAATAAAGATATTAGGTTGTCAGCAGTGGCAGAGCTTATTGCTTTTATCGCCTCTTTTTGCATAATCTTGACACCATTGTACAAATCTGTTTTGATGTTGCATTTTGAATGAGAAATTGTGCACTTTTGTACACCATGCACTGTGGCAAGAAAGGTAATGTCAAAGTTATGTATTTTTAACCTGAACAATGTCCAATCCAAAAATAAACCCAAAGTTTTCCAGGTTCTGTCTACCATAAATCTTGTCCTTGAAAGGGAACTGTCATGATTTTACCCATGAATCATCAGGCCTTGGTTTGCACAAATACAAAGAGACAAAGTCTTGCTGGGTTGACTCATCCTCATGACACCTTTTTTTTTTAAACAAGCCATTCATCTCTGTCAGAGGAGCTGAGGCAGCGGGGGAAAGATTATATACCTCAGACCATTCTGCCATCACCTGGGGAGAGATCAGCAAGCTGCATGACTCCTCTGTTGGTTATTTTCTTTCCTGATAATAAAGAGAGTGACTGCGAGTGACTGGTCCAGCCAGAGCCGTCATCACCTCCTTCAGGCCTTTTTCACACCATCTTGAATTGTTCAGGTTTAGAAATAAACTGTTTGTTTGCTTTCAATCTGCTTTGCAGGCTGTGACTTCCACTCCAACAGCAACCTTTAACCAACTGCACACTCATCTTTGAGTTCTGTAACATACATGCAGTCATTTATATTCTAAGTGATGGCATTTTGCTGGGAGATTTGATCTTCAACAGGAATAAACGTCCTCAACTAAATTGGTATTTTATTATTATATTATTTTACTGGAGCTGAATTAGCTATTTAAAGTCTTTCCTTCACATCAAGGCTCTTACATACATTACCCAAGGCCTGTTGTTAAGCAACTTATGTGATCATGTATTTTTAGAACGTATGCTTAAAACATATTTAAAATGATTTGCAAGAAACGTGCTGAGATGGCTGTGTGCCTCATTATAGCATATACAAATAGTTGTATGCTCGTAATATTAAAGGAATATGCCATAACCCACAAACAAGACAGGGGCTGACAGAAAAACTGAATTGAAAGAAACTATATGGACATATACATTTCCTTGTAATTCCATACGTTTCTGCTTTGCACCATGTTTGTTTTATATTTAGATTCATCATCTTATGAAACTTGCTTCTATTTTAGATTATCTCTTCTGGGAAATAAGATTTCTGACACAGCTTCAGCACAGGTCATTTCAGTGTAATAGTGGGGGTTTTTTTACCAGAGGGGGGAGCCAAATCATGCTGCTGTCATGATGGACTAACTGTGCATTTATGAACGTGTGAAGATAAATTACAGCAGTGTCAAACCTTTCTGGGATTTTGATTGGTCAAACATTTTTAAAAACTATATGGACTTCTATATTGTTTTATTCTCCTGGTAAGAAATCTGATCAGTTTCCCATTAAAGCCCATTTCACAGATTACCAGCAACATGCTAACTTTGAAATAGATCAATTGAATTATTTTACATCACAAAAAAAAAATCTTCATCTAAATCAAAAAGCCTTTTGTGAAAAAAGAAAAGTTCTTGCAGGATTCCACTGATGTACATGTTGTTAAAGGAAGGCACTGCTCAAGATGCATTGACGTGTCAGCAGCTTGTTCCATCCCTTTAAACTCTTCCAACCAACTGCTCAAACTAAAACAGTTCACAGTTTGTATCTTAAAACTCAAGACAATTTTCCGTTTAGCACCTAGACAACTAATCGTTACACATTTCATTTGCATCAAATATCTATTTTGTCTCCTTATATGCACAGTAAAGGTCATTTTGGATCAATGACCTGAAGGGTCTCTGTGAAGGCATTTACAGACACATTCATGGTTACAGCTGACCAGAAGGGATTCAATGAAGGGTATTCCCACAGACAGTGTAATTGGGTGCCTCTTTTACCACATCCATGCCAGTATCAGTCTGAAAAGGATGCCTTTATTTTGTTACCTTCTGAATAATTCTATAACTAACACATTTTGATGTCTTGGAAGTATTCTATTTTCTTTGCCAGCTGCTTGTGGAAAGATAACCCACGTTGTCCTTCTCCTGGTAAAGTAAGAGTAGAGACCAATCCTCTTTTGGTAACAACTTCCTTTAACTTATCATCTAAACCTTTCTCTGTGGCCATTGGCTCACGTTTATGCATCTTGGATTTAAATTGTTAAAGCATGAAAGATGAATCATTAAAGTTATATTGTTCTTTTAAATGACAATATGAACATATTCTTATCATCCCTGACTTTATCTCCATGACGATTAATGTTAAAACTCTGCCACCTTGTGTTGACTAATGGTTTACCACCTGCTACAAAAACAGGATTACACCAAATAGGGCAGATGGGAGAAAACTTCCAGTAACGTTGAGCCTTTTATGAACTGATTTAGCAATTTTGCAATAGATATTATTAATTGGTTTATTCAGTTCTGCAGTAGGTTATGGATAAAACCACAACGAAGCCAAATCTATTTTGTTGTTAACCATAGCATTAAGTTTCCCTGCAGCCATTCCCAACTGCGTGTCAAACTTGTGTAACCATCACCCAGTAGGGTATCTGTATACCTCTGCACCTACCTCACTTTTAAATCAAATCCATCATACGGTTTGCGTTCTCTGGACTTTCTATCTACGTCAGTCCCCAGAACTCGTACTGAGTTTGGGAAGAGGGCCTTCATGTACTCTGCTCCCTCCGCATGGAACAGTCTTCAAAAAACACTCAAACTGCAGGAACTCATCACTATTAACGCTTTTTAATGGCTAATTTTGGAGTGTGAAAATGTTTCACTGCATAGTATTTTATCATCATCACATAATTGTTCTTTTAGTGTTTATTGTGGTGCACTGTTGTGTTTTGTTTTTGTTTAACATGATCTCATCCCCCTCCTCCTCCTCCTCCTCCACTTCCCCTCCTCCTCCTCCTCCTCCTTCTTCTTCTTCACCTTCTGGACTGTATTTGTCTCTTTTTCTCATGTCTGTGCTTTCTTTTCAGGTTTGTCTTATATTTCGTTTTTTTTCTGGTGCCATTTTGGCCAGGCCTTGCTCGAAAAAGAGGTCATTTGATCTCAAGCAATTCTTGCCTGGTAAAAATAATGGTTACATGAGAAAAAAATAAATAAATCTAGCATTATTCTAGTTACAGGCGCTGCAATGACTTTAACAATCCGCTAGATGACACACTATCCAGTACTTTGAATTAGTTCAACATGCAGTACACACTCCAGGCAACAGGGGGCGACAATTTTCTGACGCAAACTCGGGACACATCGATGCAGAGCAAGACAAACCACTGTCTCTCTCCACATTCTGCGGCTTTTTCGGATCAGTCTCGATCGGAAGGGAAAGACACACACACAACACACACACACACAGAGAGAGAGAGACTTTTTTTTTATTTAAACAGGAGGTGGAGTTCGCTTTGTGCTTCAACTCTGCTGCAATGTTTACGCACAGCTGAAACCTAAACATCTGCCGTCTGTGATACATGAAGGGTAACTTTAAGTTGTTTTTTGTTGTTGTTGTTATTCATTGTTACAGCAGTGACGCTAACATCAAGCCTAGCTAAAAAAAAAAACTACAAACGTCTTGTGGTTATCTTAGTAAACACCATCGACTGCTGACTTAATGTTGCTGCGTAGAAAAGCGCGTAATTTGGCACCGACGTGACCCGATAAAAAACACGGAAGCGTAAAGTGTGAAGCGCTGCAATGTTTCCCCCTCCTTTGTCGGGTATTTCACTTCATTTCCTAGTTAGCCGAGATGTTACAGCTAGCTTGTCAGAAATCCACCTTAACAGACGCTGCTTTGACTTTTTTTTTTTTTGTTCCTAATCGTATTATTTCCCTGCGCTGACGAGCATTTTACAAACATGCAGTGTAGAAACCTGCAGCACAGCTAATCGGACATAATACGTGATTGAAGGGATCATCAGTCAAAGGCAGGTACTAGCAAGCTAAGAACTGTGCACACCCATTCATTCAGGAAGAAGGTTGAGGAGTGAGAGCATGTGTCTGCTGTTGATCTGTATGTAAACTCTGTTTCTTGGTAGGTCCCTAAGCCGATTAATGTCGCTTCCTCCTGCTGTTCAGATGTCAGGAGACAAAGCAGCCACCAATGTTTCACTTGTTTATTTAATTAGTTTGAAATCAGTGTCCTTAAATCCTGAGTTTTTAATCAAATGTCTTTTTGTTTTGGGTTTTTTTTTGCCAGCAAACAGCAGCAGCAGCAGCCATGGAGTTCAACAATTTGGTGACCTTGTGGATATTTTGCTTGTGTCTCGTTGGGGAAAGTTGGACCGACAAACCAAGTTCACCGACACAGGACAGCCAGACGGTTGAAAAGGGGTTTTAGGTGAGTAAGCAACCACGACATGAAATGGTTTTGTAGGCTCATGTTTTGTTTTTTTTTTAAATACTCTTTATTGAAGATTACAATACAACACACAGTTACCCCACACCCACCACCCACCACCCACACCCACACCCACCCCAAGTGACCAGACAGTATATTCCACTAAACAGAAAGAATTAGAGAATAAAACCCTAACCCAAATGAATAATAAAAAAACAACAATAATAATTAAAAAAAAACTAAAACAAACCTAAATATATTTAAATTTACAAAAACATAAATGTATTATATGAATTCAGAAAAATAATAACTTCCAGCCTACTGTATGTTGATAAAAGTGTAGACTAACCACGTTATGCATCCCACATGAAGAGTTATGAGAAGGGTCTTTTCCACTCTGAAAAATGATTACCCATTAAGAGGTTTTTTTAAAGATTTATTTTTGGGCAATTAATGGAGAGATAGGACAGTGGATAGAGTCGGAAATCAGCGAGAGAGAGAGAGTAGGGAACGACATGCGGGAAAGAGGCCACAGGTGGGATGTGAACACGGGCCGACAGCCTCCATACACGGGGCGCGCGCACTAACCACTGCGCCACCAGCGCCCCATTTAAGAGCAGTTTTTAAGGTCTGCAGGTAAATAATCTAGAAAAGGTGACCAAGGCTTTACAAACAGCTCGTCCTTCCCTTTCAGAACAGCTTGTAATCGTTTGTGAGGGAGGGTGTTGAAAATCCAAAGCGTAATGCCGGGTGGGACATCTTTGATCCAGTTGTGCAAGCTGTATAATGTTAACATGTTTAACCACCTGTTAACTTAATCCAAGCTGACACACAATATATTACTATTGGTAGTTTAGAGTATCACTGTTGTGATGGTGCATGCACTATATGTAGCCATGCTGAGAATAGTCTGGATGACATTCTCCATTAAGCCCTGTCCTCCAACCCATCAGCCAGTCAAAGAGGGGTAATTGTTTAAATGGCTTGTTGAGCAAATGAGAATGGATTTAAGTAGTTTCTCAATCAATTAATCCAAATCAAGATGTGGAACTATTTCCAAGAGATCATAGATTGCGATCACTACTTAGTTTGTTTGAGTTAGTTAGCTGTTTATAAAAAACAATGTTAGTCCTGTTTGCATTGAAATCGTGTAAATACAAAAAAAAATGTTCACAACCCCTCAAATGAATGCACAATACTTTAGAGTATTATGTAACGACATAATAAAATACCTGAGGATTCAATATGTATCACGATACAGAGGTTGGGATTCCATATTTAGCTTGATTTGCATCTTGATACTGAAAGTGAGGTGTTGTATGTGGACTTTTAATGGTGATTTAACAAGACAACACCTTTTGAATAACACGGTTCACTTTTTGGAATCAGATCAGCAGATTGTGCTTTTATATATATTTTTTTAAATCTGTCACATCCAACATCATAATCAGACTACACAACTTTAAAAAAAAAACACAACTTTAAATGTAAACTATTGATTGAGAATCGATAGTGTCATGTATAAACATGTTGAGTGACTTTTAAAAGCTACTTTTGATAGAATACGTCAACTTACAAGATATATTCCATACCTGTGATCATCTCATGCCTTATTCCATGAAGAGATTTCACATGAATGGAATTTGATTTATGGGACCCCAAAATGGATTGTAAGCTATGAAACCTGAATCTACAAGGGGCGAGTATGAGCAGGTTAAGGTAAACTGTCTCTCAGCTTTTTTTTTATAACGTGTACCAACAGCAAAAACGTGGGAAAGACACAATACTACCAACCTGTTAGTGATCTCTAGTAAAAACAAAAAAAAACAGCTGAAATGCGGGGTTAAACAAGAACTGCTGTGACAAGTCTCTCACACACCTTTTGCATCTGAAGCACATTTTTCTAAAATGTGTCACATGCCCCAAGAGGCCAGCGTGTGAGAAAATATTACTGACAGTGATTCTCAAAGCTTGAGAGGGATTCTGAATACCTGGTAGGACATAGTAACTGCTGCCGTAATAAAGTGACAAAGTCATGGAGTGTGTTCTTTGTCTACACGCTGGCACTCAGAATGACTTGCGTAACAGGAGTTATTTAAAAAAAGAAAAAAAGGCAGGCCGACTGGTATGTAAATACCTTATCTAGTGTCTCCGGAGGTTTGCAAGCCAAATGAAAGAGAGGGACAGTTTTGGGTTTGTGAGAGTGCTCCAGGTGGTAGGCTCAACTAGGTTAACTGTCGTTCTTTGTTTAACCCCCCCTGGTGAGTGTGTGAGAGTGAAAGAGAGTAAGTGCATGTGTGCTATGTGGATTTGCAGGTTCTCTGCAGATGAGCGCTTGCACACTGTGGCTCAAAAATTAACTTTGCAACACCCGGAAGTTCATGCTATGCATCCAGTCTTCCTACTTCTGCTTTGGTGGTTTCAGGTAGAAGAATGCACGGCTTATGTGCCACCTACCAAATAATCCACAGACACATTCATGGAAACAGTGACTGCTGCAGTGATTCATTTGCGACACGGTTAACCCCCTGTTTTGTCTCTAACTGTTTATCCAACCTGTCGTAACATGTGGTTGTAGGGATTAAACAATGTGTTGGTAGGATGCGTCGGTCAGTGGGAGGGGAAATTATGCTGCAAATGCCAGCACAAGAAAAAAACAAAATGCTTGAAGTTGATTAAGCACTTGTGTGTGGGTGACAATAATGAACAAAGAAGCATTAACAGTTGAGGAGGACCTGAGCTCAGCCATATATGAAAGGATATGTTGAATGTTGTTCTGAGGATCACTCAGGCAACCAAAACAAACGAAAAAAAGACAGAACCACAGTCAAGCTTTTTAAACTGCAGTGCATCAATATAACGATTCAGTCCAAATTCTTATGCAGGGTGACACTATTTTGTTTCTAAACACCAAACCAAAGATGGGCAAGCTTATTTAGAATGGTTGCAAAGAAGCCTCTACCCTGTCACACCACTTCCTCTTTTGTGGTTCTAAAGCAATAAAGTACACACAGAAACATACTGTATGCTTCTTCTATAGTTTAATTCAAACCTCACTAAGATTACAAATTTCTAAATTGACAGAAGTATCAAGGCTAAGGTAGCAGCAGCACAGAGACCTCCGAGGTTATATAAGAGGGAAATGAATAAAATATACACTAAGGAAGAAATCAACGGCCGTGTTCTTGTGAAGTCACTGCAGCCGTGCGGTTTGAATTTCTGCAGTATCTGTGATCTGTAACACAGATATCTCTGATCCCTCAGGAAGGAGAAGGAACACACAGGGCAGACAGACTCAATTAGATAACTTTTGCCAAATTGCTTTACATTCATCATGGAACCTGAATTTATGATTTATATTCACTTCATTATGAGCTCCACAACCTGAACTCCTTATTGATGCCTGACAGTGAAATGTATATATAAATGGTGATAAACGATCTTTGAACTATAGGTCCTAATCTATAGAAGCAAAATTGATAATAGATTTCTTAGTTAGAATGAAAGCTACCGTAATAATGATTAAAAGTGAATTTGCCTCGTGACATTACCTGTTTTTGACCAACAAAGTAGTTCTGACATTTTTGGTATCTGTGGCCTCTTTGTAACACACTCATAATGAATAAAAGGTCTTATATAAAGAAGTCTTTGTCTTCCGCTAAGGAATTTTGCAGTTTGGTTGTCTTAACAAGGCAGACGTCGAGCGAGAGCAATCCAGCTGGGACTTCTGACTTGGCAATCTGACTTTTCTGCAAAGAGCATTTAAGTAAAAAAAAAAAGTATGTATGCCTTTTATTAGAGAGAGAGACGGGACAGTAGAGTCAGAAATCGGGGGGGGGGGAGGCGGCGGTGGCATGCAGGAAAGGAGCCACAGGCTGGATTGGAACCCATGCTGCCCGCTTGGAGGATTACAGCCTCTGTCCATACGGCACGCACTAACCAATATGACACCGCCTCCCCCAGCATAAAAGGTTTAAGGCCAGGGAACTTTTGTGTGAGGAACTATATTGAAGCATTTGGTTGAGTGAGAACTAAAGGGACTCTTTCAATGCTTGGTAACAACTCACACATTTCCATATATAATATACCTTTCAGTCTTACAGGAAGGACCAGTAGCAGACTCTTCCAACATAATACATTAAATTCAAACTATGGCTACACAGCTGTTGCTTTTTATGGCTAATAAAAAAACAAAAAAGGGAGGGGGAAATGTCAACTGAATAGGTGTATGATGATGTCTGGAGTTAAATAAATTCAATGGATGATGGTTTCATTGTTTGGTTAGGGCAACATTTTTTTTTTTAAGTCGCATCATTGTTAACAGAGAGCAGTGTAACAGCAGGCTGCTGCACACAAAGTCTCAATGTGACCGTGTATGAAGTAAGCAGAGGAGGGTGGTGGTGATGAGGTCATGATCTGGACAATGGCACAGTCAATTGGGCCAAACATGAAAGGCGAGTTCGGTTATTGTTCAGGTTATTTTGATGACAAAGAAGAACAATATTGATATAAACTACAAAGAATCAGACATGAGTAGTAAAGACATGCGTTTAGCTGTGAACAATTGCGACTCATTGTCAACATTGAAAATGAAAGTGTACCTCCTTGTTATCTTAAACACTGAATGAACACATTTGATCTCCGTTCTCTGAATGTAACTTCCTCGTCTTTAGCTGTCTTGTCTTGAATGGATCTGAGGTCACCAACAAGTGTCAGAGTTTCCGTTGAACACCATCTTGATAAGATCCTGTCTCTTCTGCAGATTTTTGTCTCATCGACGAGCCACTGTGCAGAGACGAGAACGCCCTTCTCAGCTTCGAAGCCATTCGCAATATCCACAAGCAGATGGATGATGACGCAAACGGCAATGTAGACGTGTCAGAGACAGACGGCGTAAGTACCAGCCTACGTATTTAATCATTTTACCCAAGCTTTGATCTGGGGGTGGGGGTCGTATGGCCACAGAAGTGGTCTTCATTCAGTCAGAAGAGGCTTACAGGTATCATTGTCATTATCCTCTGTTGTCATCTGACTTGTCCCAGGATTGGCTAAGATGGCCAGTTAATCATAACCCTGCAATGACCTTAACTCACTCTAAGTAACTGCAGGATAGTCCTGTTTATGCTCCAGTCGCCTTTTTTTTACTGAAGAGTTTGTCAAATAATTAACCTTGTTCACAAGATGTTTGGTTGTAAGTGGGATGAATGTTGCAGACATGGAAGTTGACATGGTACAAACAAAGATTAACAAAGGCTGTAAGCGTTGCTTTAATCCCACTATGTTTTTATAATCAGCTGAAAAAGTAGCTTTACTAGCTTTACGTTTCAATACAGTGATTAAAGAACCATATACACAAGTATAGCTTATCTCCTTCCACAGCTGTGTGATGCTCATCTGGAGTCACGTTTGTTGCTTCTCAGACTTTACTAATGACTTTAAGTCGCTGCATATGGTCCATTTTAGTTTCTATCCAGAGCTCTAGTCTAAACTACACGTTGAGGCCTCCTCTCCTCTGGAGCCTCGTGTTGCTCTATTCAGACGATGGCGTGTGTTTTAAGTCCTGACTATATCAGGCAGCCTCACCACTGCAGCTACTCTGCCTTTTTAGAAGAGGCATTTTCATGTAAATACCTTTAAGGCAGAGGATCAAGTGGAGTACAGTGAGCACTCACATCTGGAGTGGCTCTGAGCCTTGAAATGGAAAGCTCTAAATGATTAAGAGTTCTTCTTCATCACAGCAGCCCTGCTTCCCGTTATCACGCAGTGGTTAAATAACCAGGATTACTCATGTCTTTATGCTTAAGATCAAAGTCTGCATCTGGCTTCCAAGTTGAAGCGTCGGGCCTTGGCTACATTATGGAGGTCTTCCTTATATTCCAAATGCATATGTATTTTCAGGAGCATGATATTTCACCTGCAGCAGAGACCTTCTTTTCTCCTTGTAGTGAAATCCTCCCACACCTCTCTATCAAGAAAGAAAGGCTTCATGTGTTGCATGAGTTGGCTTTAGTGGGAGTGCAAGAACTTGTGTAGGTTTTTTTTTTAACCTAATGTCTGAGTAGCCTACATTATAGTGGGCAACCAGGAGAGTGGTAACTTTGGCCAGTAGCTGACCATTACCACTCCAGTGGGGGCGGGGAGTTAAATTAAATCAAAGATACCAAAATAAAATCCAGAGACCTTTATATTGTTTCCACTGATTCATTAAGAACATATTAAGTTCATTTAGGGATTTAAAAAAAAAAATCTTCAGCCGGTTAGAATTCATTCTTTCTCAGTCACTACTAGATACATGTTAACGTTGAAAGAAACATGTATGTGTCATTGATGCCCTTTCATGGCATCTAATTCAGTAAGACCGATAATATCAAAAACGTTTAAAACCCACTGATTCTACTGAGTGTTTCCACTCTCGCTGGTATGACGATGTTGCTTTTATCTTTCATTGTTGAAGTCCAGATTTAAGCCTCAGTTTAGTAGTGTGTTAAGACAAATTTTTGATACTGCGATACATTTTGATAACATTTGTTTTTAACAGTATAAACTCTTATATAATAATGATCTGTACTATCAAAGCTTATAAAAAAAAAAAATCAGTCATATAATTCAGAAAAAGCTGCGGACATAATTGTGCTGTTAAGACGGTGTGTGTGTGAGTCTGCCTGCATTTTATGGTAATAAAACAAGTAGCAACCCAATATTGGATGCCTGGGACTTGTATTATTGTTGCCGTGTTATAATAGATAATCTTCACATCAAAGTGTCCTGAGGTTTTGAATGACATAAAACCATCCCATATGATTTTCTCTTACCTGTGTGGTTTTGTTATTGACACAGTGGAAGTTCTGTACTGCTTCAGGTTATTGAATAGTTACTGAGAAATCACAGAACGCTTCGTTGAGATGTTTACTGTGTGGTTTTTTTTTTTTCATGCTTCTTGACTGTTAGTGAAGCAAATACACCAATTAGCCTAAGGGATTGCTTTTTCTTTCTTTGGGGATTCACACAGACTGAAGTAGGGAAACGGGTCATAATGCTAACAAAACAATCACTTAACAGCAAATTTCATGCACGTGGTGCAAAAAACATGGTGTTCTTCCTCCAAATATTCACACATTTCCATCAACCGACCCCCAGTCGGATCTACTTGTTTAGAATGTCGACATTTGGAAAGGTCTGATAAATATTTAATTCCTGATTAAGGTGATACATTTAAGATCCCACATTGCAGTAACTATTCTTACTAAAGGTCTGCATGCTGAGACTGAGTTAGTTAAGAAGCTAGAAATGCAGGAAATGCAAGATAGGAGGCCGGCTTTTGTGAGTTAAACCTTGGGCATAATGGATTTTTTTTCAAACCAATATCCTTCTCTTCCGGCAGTTCCTGAGAGAGGATTTAAACTACCATGACCCCAAGGCCAAGCATAACAGCTTCCATGGGGACGACCAGTTCATCAGTGTGGAGGACTTGTGGAATGCATGGAAGGGCTCTGAAGGTACTGCTTTGAGACATCTTTGTTCCCCATGAAGGCCTGCAGTGACCCAACAAACACGCCTTTCTTTCAGTGTTTTTTTTCAAAGTTTTATTTTTTAAATCCGAGTGTTGGGACTGTGAATATTGTTTTGCATGCTGTGTTTCACCTTGATGTGCTCTGCCTGTTGTGACTCTTTTGATAGTTTGTTATTTTCAGAGAAATTCTCCTTGTGATTTGTATTATCAGATAGACTATAATGTGTACATGCACTATTTAATGAATTATGAAATATTTCCCTGTGTCTAAAAGTCTGTTGCACACATTCCCCCTGCTTGACCCTCTTACACAACCAACGAAGAACGTAGTCGAGTTTATCAGAGTGCTTGTTAAGCAAAGTGCAGTGAACCCATCAGCTCCAAACAGTGGCAGACTAGATATCCTTGAACCTGTCGTCACAAATTCACCAACATGTTCTCACCTCCTGCTGCCTATCTGTGTGGCTGGGCTATCATGTACTCTCTGAGAGCTCTTTTCATGTGCTGCATCTGGCACTCGTGTCTTCTCACACATTTTCCTCCAGCTACCCCGTCTTACTTTTTCTTTTCTTTTTTTTTTTTTTTCTTTTTTTGCCACGAGTACTGGCTAACCCTGCATTGCAGATCCTTGACAAGGCTCTGGAGGTTCTGAGCCAGAAAACAGGGTTTTTTTTTTTTCTCATCCAAGAGAGCAACACAGACATCCCACACTGTAAACTGTCTGCAAGGAGCTGGGGAGCATATTTTCATCACCCTGTTATTACAGAGCACAAGACCCTGTATGTCATCAGAGGCCCATTTTTTTATGTGTAAAGCTGTTGATCAAGTAAAGCTAAAAAGTTTCATGATGGTGACACGTTTTTTTAAATTCTGTGCTTTTTGAGTGAACACAGATGAAGTTAATGGTAACTCATAGCTTTCATTTTGTTGCACAGTGTAAGTAAAAGTTAGTTTCTAATTACAAATCATATTCAATACTTGGTTTCAGATTTGTATAGAAAGCCTCAGCTGACCGTAGACATCTGCATTCACTTAGTGCCTTCCCTCAGGATGCTCTGCTTGGCCTGTAGCGCAGCCATCTTCAGCTCTCGCTGGTTTCTGTGGCTTTTCTGCCTTCTGTCTGTTCAGCTGATCATGTGTTTCACTTGGTGAAGAACGGAGGTCGACTGCCTTCTTCCTTGACCCCAAGAAAGACTTCTTATTTGCCTTTTACTTTATTCATTGAATGGGCTCGTTGTGGTGATATTGCAAAAAGACAGGTCTTCATGCCTTTTTCTGATTCAGTGGAATTAACCGATGTGCTTCAAGGGTTAAGAACCTCGCTTTAGTGAAAATGAGTCCTGTAAGAGGAACATACACCCATCAGTGAGTCACGCTCTAAAGAGCACAACACTGAATATCTTTGAACTATTACTCTCTCACTTCAGTGCTTGTAATATAAACACTTTGTTTCCATTAAGACTTATTAATAGTGATTTCTGCAGGTATTTGATGACTGAGAATGAATCAGTGCTGTAACCATGTTTATTTTTTATTTTCTCTTCCTTTCAGTGTATAATTGGACAGTGGATGAGGTGGTGGAATGGCTCATCACATACGTGGAACTTCCACAATATGTGGAAGCATTTCGCAAGATGAATTTTAACGGCAGTGCCATGTCAAGGTAAGGGATATCATCACTTTTCTAATCCCCCGAAAACACTACATTTCAAACCATGCTAGATCAATAAAACTGTTGTGGCTTATATAAGGCTGGCAGTTTTGTTTAGAAATATAAATTGAATGCAAAGTTCACTCAAAACAAAAGTGGCGGGGGGAATAATCAGGGAATAATGTAAGCACATATAATTTACTTGATTGAACTTCAGTTGTGCCAGTTATTCAAAAATAACTTTCGACTTTTCAAATTAGCGAAATGAGTTTGTAAAATAAAACTGAGTGTTTTCAATCTTTTTATGTTGGATTCATAGATTTGCTCATATTACTCGCTGCTGTGAATGGATTACACCCTTGTTTTTTTTTTTTTCTTCCGTCCTTGTTCTCCCAAAGTGACTGTGAGTCTGTTCTCTCTCAGGCTCGCCATAAAGAACGCCACCCTGACTCTCTCAATCCTGAAGATCCTGGATCGCAGCCATGTGCAAAAGTTGCAGCTCAAAGCTTTGGACACTGTTTTATTTGGAGCACCTCTGAGTATGTGACTTTTTTTTTTTCTTTCTTTCTTTCACTTTGTTCAAAAATTCCCTAAGCAGCTCAGACTCTCGCTCTCATTCATAAAACATCAGTTATGTGTTGCAGTGTCTTCAACACATTGACGAGACATGTCTGTCTGTCTGTTCATCCTAGTCCATTTACCCAGCATGTTTTTTTTTCTTCTTTAAACGTCCACAGTCTCCGGAGCAAAGATTGGTTCTTAAATCATTTTCTTTAGCAGTCTGTCATACTACTATAGATTTCAGTCGTCTCTTTTTCATTAAGATACTGATCTGTTGCAGAGTTTCAATGACACGGAGGTAGTTTGGCTCTGACAACACTTTGAACGTACCGTTCCAAATGACAGGCATTGCTTTGTCTGTGCATTTGTGGCACACCCACATCTTTCACCCAACCGGTTCCCTTCCACATAACTGCTAATAAGAAAGGCATTAAGCAACTTCCAAATAAGTGACTCACCACACCCCATGGACCTCCCTCTCATAAAAAAAAAATAGTCCTAGCTAGAACTCAATCACTTGAACAGCTGTTTTTTTTTCTCTCTGTGAAACATCTGGAAAGTTTTGAGTTCTTCTTAACAGCCTACCACATTTACCAACATCCTGCTTTCATCATTCATCAGCTAGTTCCCCTGACATACTATGCTGTGGTCAGGTTATGTTTGCTTTCTTTATAATAGCCACTGGCTCAGCTGACTTATCAATGTACTCACTATAGCAAGCAACCTCAGATATAAAGGTGGAAGTCTGCTCTCATACTGTATCAGTTTCAGGGATTGAAGAAGCGAGCTGAAGGTTAGAGCACACTGCTCTGTATTCCAGACACACCCCTCTGCGCACTGAGACAAATAAACAGACCACTCATCTTCTCTGTCTCCTGTATCACTGCTCTGTTGCACTTGTGCAGCTACAGATTGTAATCCATCAGGGTTTTTTCCTCTTTTCTTGTTGTCTTTACTTCAGGGGGTTTGTAAAATCACAGATGCGCAATGAATGGGTTTTTGCTCAGCTGTCACTCCTCTTTGCTAGACTTCTTCTTTTGCGTAACATCAGTTTGCATTTCCTACACACGCTCCCAGAATGACAGCCAGATTTATTTTCATAACATAAACAACATCAACATAGAAGCTTGAAGGTTGCGAAGGTTGAATTCTGACATTATCTGAAACAAGTCGGGATAATTCGACACTTGTTGAAAAATGTTTACCTCAAGCATTAATGGTGCGCTAAAACCGCCTCGACCTGAAGTGTACCTCTTTATCTATCGCGGAAACACTCAGATAATTGAAGTGCAGGGGTCATATTTAAAGCAGGACGGCTGCTTGGGAGAGCAGATGTTTGCTGATCAAGAGCAGAAAATATAATGAACCTTCATAGAAAGCAGGCGTTTGCATTGAGAAGAAGAAGTGTGTCGCGGCCTGTGTCTGGCATGTGTCATTGTGGATGTGTTTTGTTCGAGTCACACCAAAGGAAGACATTAGCGAGCGTTGTCTGGCTTTGACAGCCTCTCAAAGCCAGGGTCTCCCACTAGTAGTCCAGTTTTCTTTTTATAGCAGCAGCACTTGAAGTCACATCTCACAATGGGTCGATTCTAAGCTAGTGGACAGTTGTGTAATGATTTGCACAGGCACAATTGAGTCCTGTTATTTCCACCTTTTGTGGTTAATTAACTGTCACTTTGTGCTCTCTGGGTGGTGTTTCAGAGAAGCAGGGAGGGCTCGCTGTATGTTACTAACACATGACATTAAAAAAAAGACTCTGCAGATGACAGAAGGCAAGCTGTGTTTCCTGTTTGGACAGATAGTGGTGTAAGCATTAGGACGTTATTTTACTTAATCTTAGAGATGATGTGAAGTACTCCCTTTGCTCAGGAACAATGCAGACACATGTCCTTTCAATATTGTGACCTCATTCCGAGAAGTAGTGTTCTTGTTGGTACAACGTCAACGATCCAGGAAAACACTTGCACGTTAAGTGTTACTGTAGCCTTCTTATTGTACTTATTGAGTGAATCGAGATAAAAACACGAGCAGCGGCTTACAGCTGATTTTTTTTTTTAGTTCCTCACTTCTGGTACATTCTTGAACACAATAGCCGGCATGGCTGGTCCAACTTCCTTGACTCTAATAATCCCCTGTTTGCACTGGACTTTATAAGCAAAGTCTACAAGAATAAACACAGTGCTTATGAAAGATCATTAAGCAAAAGCTAGAGTCTTAGTATTAAGCTGTTTCACCACAGAGAGAGAGAGAGAGTTCATGTGGGGAGAAATGTTGTGTGAAATGTAGATACACAGAGTTGTTTGACTTTCCTGTAACGAAAGAGAAGACAGGGGTAGAGATGTAAGAACAATGGGATGATGAAATCTAAAGGGAAATATACCTTTTTTTTATTGTTTTTCTCTTCTTTTTCTCCTAATTTTACTTCCTCTTTGTGTCACACCAGGAAGTAGAAGTCAGGCTTTTGACACCTCTTTCCTGCACACACCCGTTTACAGGTTAACAAGAAAAACGTGCTTCTTTGTCTCGTAGCTTGCAAGGCAGAAATCCAGGCAGTGTTTTTTTGAATTTCTGCATGACATCCTGATTCCTCAAATGTCAAATGGACTTCATTAAACCCAGGCTTCTGTTGGAAGAAGTCTTCTTTGTTGAAGTCCTCGTCACTGTAATAGTCGATCTGAATCTGAGCTTTTTTTTTTTACAAATGGCTGCTATCAAGCTGCTGTGACTTTTATAGCTCCGTGTCCCCAACAATAACACCGTGAGAGCATACTAATACTTCAGATGAACGGCAGCTAGGATTAGATTTATAGCTCTGCATGTGTATCTAAATGTCCTAGCTGCCATGGTTTGGTTTTCTGTGCATGTTTGTTAGCATTGGTAACCAGGCAGAAATAGGCCATTAAGCTGGCTTTATAGTGGTCTTTAGCAGCAGCACCCTCTCACCGCAAACTGAACTTGTGTGCTTCTGGCTTTTCTATTTGTGTCACTTGCAGTATGAGTAGGTTGTGTTCATGCACAAGCTTTACACCACATCCTTGTGAAGTTTGCTCATTTTTAGACGGCTTAATTTATGATCTTGGGAACATATGTCCGAGCTGAAATGCAAACCCCCCCCCCTCCTGCTTCCATGAGTCTGTCCTATGGTTACTAAAATCTAACTTCTCTTCCTTGTTTTTGTTTTCAGTCAATCGACACAACCACTTGAAGGACTTCATGCTGGTTGTGTCAATAGTCATAGGCATGGGGGGCTGCTGGTTTGCCTACATCCAAAACCGCTACTCTAAGGATCACATGAAAAAGATGATGGGGGACCTGGAGGGCCTGCAGAGAGCTGAGCAGAGTCTACATGATCTACAACAAAAGTGAGGCTTTTTTTCTCACCACACACACACAGCTTTGTTATAAGTAATAAACACTGTGTTAAGGACATAAAACATTTTTGATTTATAACAATCATCATTCAAACTGACATCAGGCAGGGTTGGCCTGGTAATCCTGCTTCTGTTTATTGCATGTGGATTGAATTATTCCTCACACGTATCTTGCTTGTTTTTTGTTTGGCCTTGAACAATAACTAAATGTTTTTTAAAAGTTGTTCTTTTTGTGCCCGGACACTCTGTAGCGTACACTGAAAGTCTTCAAACGTATTTATCACCATCAACTGAGATTAGTTTTTCACACACGCTAACAACTTAAAAATTAGATGATGGTCTATCCAACAGTGTCAGTCCTTATTTATTCAGTCTTTGATGTGTAAAATGGTGTCCATGTTCATCATATCCAAAGGTTAAAGTTTTATTTCACAAAAGTGCATTTCTTTTGGCACTAGCTGAAGCAGGCAGTCAGAGGAATTCAAGTCGGCTATGTCATATCTGCGTAGTAAAATCACTGACAGGAGACTAATTGCTAAGAATTTCAACATAGTGGTTTTGAATCCTATGTATAGCCCCAGAGTAATAACTCAACTAAGTCATACCCTTCACTGGGTTGCGTGTACAGAGCCACATTGTTCTAAAATGAGAAGTGAAAAACTGTTGAGTAATGAGAGACTCAAGGAGCTACGCTGTGATTCATTGGACAGACCTTTAGACAAATAGCCTTACATGAGCTAACTTAAATGAGTCACACGTGAACTAAATTTAACCACTGAAGGAGATGCAAGACCTTTTTATAAGGATTGATATAATATTGATGAACTTTGGGGCGGCTGTGGCTCAGTGGTAAAGTCAACAACTCTCAACTAGAATGTCGGGGGTTCGATCCACAGCTCCTGCAGCCACATGTCGGTGTGTTCTTAGGCAAGGCACTTAACCCCAAGTTTTCCCAAGTTTAGTTGTGTTTTCATGGATTAGCTAATACTGATGGGCTCTTTACTTAGAAGCCTTTACCATCAGTGTATGCAGTCAGAAGACAAAAAAAAAAAAACACTGTACAAGCTCAAGTCTATTTACCAATAGTTCAATGACAACTTGTCAATCAGGCGTTGTCATTTGTAGTTTAGTTATCTTTTTTATTAAGTTAGAAGCTGCAACATTGACTGAAGGATCTGCTGCAACAAAACATTGCACTCACCATCTAACTTCCAGGTTGACTTTTTTTTCCAGATGTTTTCCAATCATAATGTACTTCAAAATGTAAATGCAAATATTTTTTGGACAGTTACCAATAAGCTAGCCGTTCTAAATTGTTGTATTCATAAGTCTTAGTTTTACTCAACAGAAACAGACAGGCAGTGATATTAGTAGCCATCGTGGCCGCATTCCATTATTGAGTGCGGTGGGGACTGGCCGGCTCCAAGAATTTCCATAAACTCTGCCGGCAGCTTACTTATCTTCCGTCATGAGGCTCCAATGCATGTGGTAAAGACATGTTTGTTTGGCTTTAGTAAATTAATGGAGTTTGATGGGAATCAGAGTATTTCTGGTAGCATTGGCTGCAGTACTTCACTCTGCATCTTTAACTAAACCCTATATAATACTTATTCTTGATTTGGGAACAATTTTCTTTCCAGCACAAACCATAGATGGAAGTAATGAAGATATAGTCTCAGTCTGTTTGATGCAATGTGTAGCTCAGTGAAGGTTGACATTTAAGTGCTGCTTCCTCTCGGTGAGGAGAACCAGCTAAGGTGGTTTGTCCGCAGGTACATTTGCCCCTTGACATCAACCTCTCACTGTGGGGGATCGAGTTAGAGCAGTTCAACATTTGCTGGTGTTGGTTAATATATTTGTCCCAATTATGTTGGAATTTATGATCTCAGTGACTCCTGCAGTAAAGCGATTATTAAACTGACTGAATTATTGCACATGTTTTGTTCTCGCATGTGATCTGGAATATCAGGTTATTGCTGCCTCAGTGATTGAATGTTCAACATTTATTGGTGGTGTCTGGAGGCTAAATTAAGGATTATAACACAAATCATACTATTTTGGTCCTGTAATGCTTGGAATGTGCTTTTAAGTTTGCGCCGTCTCTTCTTTATTCCTTTAAAGGATACTCAAACATAGCTTCCACTCAGACTCAGGACAGGTTTTATTTTATTTATTTTTTATTTTTTTGACAGTTGGTGGTCAATGTGAGCATGTCACGGTTTGAAACATATTTTGTTTGTAATCTCTCACAAAGTTGATTTAGACCTGGCAGATTGCACATAGATAACAAAGAGTGGTCAAAGTGCAAAGTGTTCATCTTTGGGGATTTCTTGTATTATGCGACAATAAACCGGGGAGAGGCCTGCCAGAGTGAGGAGGAACAGTGACGGGCGTTTTCGCATGACTTCATGGCATTACTGTCCTGATGCTTTAGGACAGTGAATAGGGAGACGTGGCTGGATCAAAAACTTTCAGTGTATTTTAAAGCCCTTATTCCCACTATGAAATGATCTTTGTTTCAGCTGGATGTTTAGGAGACACCAGCTTGAAACTCGAGCTGATCCTCTCTGATGAGGAAGGAAACCTCACTGCACTTAGTTTTGATGTTTGTGTCAACCTCAGGTTCTTTATTCTTTGAACAAAGCTTATTTTTAAGCCACTGTAGTATCTCTGTTAGGACGTTTGTGTACATATTATACAATCTACTATCTAATCTAAAATATAAAGTGCACGTGTTTATCAGTAGAGTGCAAAAGGGAGACAAACGTACTTTTGTTGGATTTGCTTGTGAAATAACAACCAAAAGTGTGATGGATCGTCAGTGGGGACAAACTACCGAGTTCAAACTTGTCCCTTGATAAACTGCCAGTCAGCCTTCTGATGCCTCCGTGGCTTTCTACTTGGATCAGCTGTGAACACACACCTGCCACTGCTGGCTTTGAAGTGGGCTCTCACTTTTTCTTGCTAAGCTAATTGCTCATGTCTTGTTCTCTTGTGCAGAAAAAAAACACAGAGGGATTTATCTGCTGCAATTCATTAATGTGCAGCCACCAGTCTGTGGAGGATAAGCACAGTGTGAGAGCAGGCAAAGCAGTTGTCTTGTTTGTCATGTTGAAGAAAATTTCCCGAAAGGCGTTGTCATCTTAAAATGACTATAACAAGGGTTTGCAGAAGATGCTGTTTTAATCTCTTGTATTCATTATCAAATGACAATGTTAAGCAAAATTCAGCTGGGACTATTCCTCTGCTGCCAAAGACACAAAGCACATGATGGTGAATCTTAGACACAATAGTGTTCAGTGTTAAACTCTCTTGTATCAGATTCCCTGGCATGTGTTACATCCTGGACTACCAAGCACCATGGCTGTAGGAAAGTATATCATGTAATATTGTCAGTCAGTGTGACATGCAAGCAGAGGTTTTATCTCATACGGTGCATTTTTTATTTTTTTTTTGGAGCTGAGAGAGAGAGAGAGAGAGAGAGAGAGAGAGGTATGTCCTCTGTCTGTGGCCATGCCTTTCTTCCTGATCCCTGCTGCCAGCTGCTCTCTTTCCATACCTTCAAGCAGATCCTGTGATGGTATCAAGTAGCCGTGCCAAGCCACGTCCCCTGTTGGGAGACAGTGGGAGGAGGCTTTGACTGGAGCTGGATTTCCTGGATGCCTTTTACAGCACTGTTTGACCCAGCCTCCACCTCACTGGTTGGAGATGGTGAAAAGCATGACTGCTTAACTTGTCAGCTCCAGTGCGAATTCACTCACATTTGGATTGGGGCGTGGCATGCACACAGACATCCTTCATAGGGCTGGTGACTTGGACAATAACAGAACTCGTGATAGGCATTAGAAAGCTCATTCTTTTTCCACAACAACAATTGTGTAGAATGAAGAGGGATGAATACAAATGTATAAATATTAGATAGATAGGTAATGATAATGATTTACCTTCTTCACCTTCTCCTGCAAAGTCTGCAGAGTGCAGAGACAGTGTGTCTGCGTCCTCAGAGCCCTGCAATGCAGGTCAGGGAAATAGCATTAAGCAACCTCTCTCTGGGCATTGTAGCTCTGCCAGTGCTTTCGAATCTTAGCAAGAGATCGTCACAGGTCAGGGTCGAAAGCATTAGCAGGACTGCCCACCACCCGCATTTTCCATAGCAAGCTCTGGAGCTCGTCTTTCATTTCTCTGCTGTTGTGTTCATCCTGGAAGGAGAGCAGCACTTCTCTTTAGTGAGGGAAATAAAGAACGTCTTCCTGCCCTTCATTGTCTAGAACCTTCATACTTTCATAGCTGGTCTTTTTTTTTAAGAGTCTCGGTAATAAACTAAGTAGTCCAGCAAGGGACTGTTCAGACTAAGTTGTGTTGTCATGTTAGTATTATCACCTGAGAGTCTCACTGCTGATTAGCTTAACACACCAAATGTACCAATCTTTTTTCTTTGTAAAATACACGTTACATGTCAAATACACTTTGAAGGTGAAGGGGAGGTTTACTTCGGTCTAAATTAAAAATACAGTTACTTAAATTAAAAATACAGTTACTTAAAATGTATGTGTCAGATTATTACATCATGGGTGACAAGCCCGTCTTTTAAAAGTAGGCTTTTCTTAAGGCTAGTTTAAAAATATCCCACATACAAAGCTACATGTTAGTCCTGGAGCATTGGACACCAACACTGTACTGTTCTAAAGTTACACACTGGCAGCTGTTCCCATTCTGGGCTCTGCTGCTTCTGATGTCAGTTTATTGTGAGTTGCTCAGCAGCTGACCGTTTCTCTTAGCTTTCTGCATGTTAGCCATTGTTTCCGGTCATGCATGACTGATGCAAGTCCTACATACCACACATACTTGATTACACATCATGCCTGCCCACAGATAATATCACAGGCCCCTACTATGCTACACTTTCTGTTTTGGCCTTTTTAAGCCCTCAAGGATTTTTTTTTCTTCCCTTTTCAAACCCAAATACAACTTTTTTTTTTTTTTTCCCTCTCATTGTTTCCAGGCTGCAGATCGCTCAGGAGGAGCACCGTACAGTAGAAGTGGAGAAGGTCAACCTTGAGCAGAAGCTGAGGGATGAGATCAACGCAGCCAAGCAGGAGGCCCAACGCCTGCGAGAGCTGCGAGAGGGCACAGAAAATGAACTGAGTCGCCAAAAGTATGCTGAAGAAGAGCTGGATCAGGTACCTGCGTATTAAGAAAACATGATTCAAACACAAAGTTGTAAGAAAATGTGCAACTTAAGCCCCTCCAAAAAGCGCAGAGTCTAAGAGAATAGTGTCTCATGAAGTTCCAAGGTGTTATCTGCACAGTATGTTTAAGTCTACCAGATTCACACTTGCTATAGTATAAATACACCCACCAAAGTCTTTGTCCATTAGAAATATTGGCAGTAGCAGCACAGCTCAGCCCACACAAGTAAGCAAAACACATGAGTATTTGTTTGAGGGACTATCACAGTGATCTTACTCAGACACCTCTATTACAGTTTGTTTTTCATTCTGCATCACAGGGATAAATAGGAAACCTGGAAGGCTTTCAGAGTCAGTATAGTCACGAGACACTTTGAGTTTCATGCTCAGATACCAGGAGCAAACAGACAGGAGGCGAGTTTCGAGGTCACTCCTTTACTACAAACATGGATTTCTAGTCAGGCCTCAGTTTTGAAACATGTTGAATTGGCGAGTGTCTGTATTTGTAATGTGCTGAATTAAAACAGTTAAAGGGAGTTGAGGGTTTTTGGAAAATTATAAATAAAATAAAAACCCCTTTAGGCAACAAGAGCATATTCTTGTCCATTTATTTAACTAGTTATGCAATGTGGTTGCAATTCTCAGATTTTTCAAATGTCCTTATTAAAAGAATCGGAAAATGTTTCAAATCAAATACTAATTCCTTATACTATGGATTCAGTGTTTTGAAATATATGGTTGTGTGCATTTTACCCATCAATGTGTTATCTAATGTTTGGTTGCAGGTGCGCATGGCGTTGAAGAAAGCAGAAAAGGAGTTGGAGTCCCGCAGCAGCTGGTCACCACCAGAGTCTCTCCAGAAGTGGCTGCAGCTCACCCACGAGGTGGAGGTGCAGTACTACAACATCAAGAAGCAAAATGCTGAACGGCAGCTCCTGGTGGCCAAAGAAGGGGTGAGCACTTCAAGGCAAACCTAAGAGCTGATGTCGTTACCTCAATTGTAGAGCAGTCTGTGCTCTATGATTATAGTCTGATTTCTAACAAAGCTTCTTGAGAATCGATCAACAGTATAAAGTCTATAATGTATGACTAATTGAAATAAATTGGGTTTAAATCTCAATTTCCAATGCAAAATTGAAATAAGAAGCAAATATTTAAAGCAGCTTAATAATGAAATATTAGGATTAAATGTTTGTTTTTTGTTTTTTTTCACAGGCTGAAAAGATAAAGAAAAAGAGAAACACTCTCTTTGGGACCTTCCATGTGGCTCACAGCTCCTCCCTGGATGATGTGGACCACAAAATACTGGCAGCAAAGTAAGACAAAGACTGTAATAGTAGAATAACCTTAGCAGAACTTATGGAAACCGGTATAAGCTGCGTTTCATTTGGGAATGTGATTTCAAACTCCCCTCTCCTTCTCTTTTTTTTTAATAGACAAGCCCTGGGCGAGGTGACGGCTGCTCTGCGGGAGAGGCTTCATCGCTGGCAGCAGATAGAGATCCTCACCGGTTTCACCATCGTTAACAACCCTGGCCTTCCTTCTCTGGCCTCGAGCCTCAACCTCGATGCCAGCTTCATGGGCGGCAGAGCCACACCTCAGCACTTCATCATGTCGGACGACATGGACGACTTGGACGAGGATATCATGCCTGGAACTCTGCAATGTAAGAGTTCATCCGAATCTATCGGCTCTTATGTGGGAAATAGCAAACGAACCCCTAAACACTCCAAGACCCTGCTGGGAAAAACCAAAAATCAGCCCACATGAGAATTTGGACCTTTTTGTATCATTGTTATCTGAATTTGTTCTTGTGTCCTCTCTGGTTTTGGTGAGGGTCAACCTTCTGTGTGATTCATTGAATGAGCGTTGTTTTACATGTATATTGTGTATCATGTAAATTCACATAATTGTCTTGTTCCTTTAAGCACAACTCCAGCCGATGCCTTTTGTTGATCATGCTCATTTTGGATAAAAGTGTTCACTTGATTGACGAGCTATTATGGAGGCTGAAGACTTCTGTGACTCTTCTCTGGAAATTGAACTGTGAAGGAAAATATATTTCTTAATGAGAACATGTTCTTGTGCTGACCTATTTTTAGTGGTTGTGTCCTAATCTGTACTACAGACCTTTAGAATCTGCTGCAAACAAAGGAAACTCATAGTGAGTCAGTGTACAGTCAGTGACCTATTCTAAACATTATTTAGGTTAATTATGACATCTACGGAAGATCCCAGAGGCAAGGGAGAGAAAAATCTGGCGATCAATTTTACTGGTATTTATTGTTTCCCTCTTTTTGTTTTTGACTTAAGGACAGGCTTCTTCTATTATTTAAAAAAATATATAATATTCAGACACTTACAAAGATAATTCAGGGGGATTCATTTTTTCTTATACATATTGACTTCATAAACAAAGGTGAGCAAACACATATTAGACTCAGAAAATGGATCAACATACTTTTTTTTAAATATCATCTAATAGGGCTTCTCTACAGGAACATCAAAATGTACACCCACTGTATGCTCAGAAACAGTCATTTTCTTATATCTGGAGGACTTTTAAGGTTAACATTGTTCCATAGGGTATGAAATCCAACAACATTCTCCTGACAGTAATGCTCTGTAGCCTTTCTCTTTTAGACTTCATATTTGACTTCATCATATTGTAATACTTGACCTATGTTTGGGTTTGACCGACTTCAGGTTAAAGTTTCACTGCAGAATCCTTTTCCGACTGCAATAGTAAGTTTTTAAATTCAGATTAATTGCACTCCCTAACTCACTCCCCTCTCTCCCTGCACTGCCTCCCTGGCATTTGGCTTCCACTGCCGTCTCATTGGCCGAACTACAGACGGCGCCCGATTGTTGGAACGGCGAGCCAGCGACCTGTGGTTCATCGGTTCAGACAGTCGGCACATGTGGAAATATTCTGGTTGGCCACTTGTATATGCCCCAGTTCAGTCCTCCGTTTGACTTCCCTTTCTTTTCCCTTGACTTCAAACCACACACAGCTGTAACATTTTTGTTGCTGCTGTTGACAGTATGCTGCAGATGGACAGAGGACAGAACTGCGTTCACACCTGACCCCGCTGTAAATGCTTGCTTGCCATCCTCCTCTAAACCTTGTCACCACCCAGTGCATCCCCATCTACCTTTCCAAAGTACTTCCACTTTTTTTTTTTAAAGGGCACTTCCTTTCCCAAATAGAGTAATTATGGCTTAAAAATGTTTATTGATTTCATCTTGATATTGAGTTGTTAACACCCGCACTGTTTTCTCCTTTTGTTTAATGTCATATTTTCCTCGATAGCAGAACAGATAAAACAGGATTGTTGGGTTTATAATTTAATTAAGTGTAAATGCTGAATTTATCCTTCAGGCTATTTAATATTCAAAGGTTAAAGTCAAGAATCTCACCCCCAGCACCTTAATATCTTTCCACAATCTCCCTACTGGTCTCCCCCTTTTCCCTCAAACCTTGAGTCTTTATTGATAATGTTGTTGTTTTGTCCCCACAGCTCCCAGTATGATGTCCCTGCGTCAACGCCACATTGACCCTCAGCTGGCCATGGGCTCCCAGAGGTTGGTAGACAGTTGCCTATTGAGGCAGCAGGGAGAGGGATCCCCATACCTATCCAGGTCTAGGGCCACCCTCAGACAGTCCCGCAGCCAGTCGTTCGGGCAGCTGGATTGTCTCCCTCTGCCTCCTCTGTCCTCGGCTGTGTCTCACCCCTCCATCATCTCCGCCTCCAGCCTAAACCCTCAGTCGCTGTCCTCCTTGTCCTCCTCTTCCTTTTGCTTACCCAGTTCTGTGGGTGGCGCTTCAGCCCCTCATTCTTCCCATTTTTATCATACTTCTTTCCAGCCCTTGGAGCCCATTCCTGATTTCACCTTCTCAGATGCCTCCAAAGCACACAGTGACAGCTATGGGTACTCGTCTCTTTCCAATTTCTCCACACACATCGCATGTGCGTGGGGTGATCATTTTTCTGCCAACTGCTTTTGTTTCTTTTTTTGACACATGTATCACAACCACCTTCTTTATCATTTTCCCTCCCATTTCTTTTTGTCATGTAATAATTATAATAATAATTCCACTTTGCATCCCAGCTGATGAGACTTTAAGAGAATTTATGCATCTACACCTTTTGACAACTCTCCATGTTCCTGTTGTTATTTGCCTGCGCGACTAACAAGTGTGGAGTTCCAGTGCCCCGGCTGTTCCCAGCGTGTCCTTGGCTTTGTAGGCATAGTGTAGATAAACCCTAGCATGCAAGGCTTCAGCTGTTTGGGTTTGTTTTTATCTCTCATTTCCTCTGACTTTGTTTTTTTTCCCTCCCTCAGGGACCTGAATCGCTCTGACTCCGACTCCTCCCTGTCCCTGTCCCAAGTTGGTGATCGGCTATCTGCCTACAGCTCCAAAGGCCACCTGATCAAACCCACCACTCTCATGCATGGCCTGTCCAGCCGTGCAGAAGATACCATCTCTCTCCACGCTCACACCCCTAACGGAGGAAACCGAATTCCCGAGGCCAGTCCAGCAGAGCCGAGTCCCGACAGCCCAATACTCATGAAGGAAGTGTACGGCATGAAGGAGTCACCCAGCCTGGGGGAAATCAACAGCCTGACAGAGTCGTCCCGCTCCCTCAGCCCCAACTCTACTGAACCTGACACGCCGTCGCCCACAGGAGGAGGACAACCAGGGGTCGTAGGGGCAAAGGGTGGCAGTCGCATCCCGCAGCTGTCCTCCAAGAAAAGTCCCCTGGAGGAGGACAGTGGCTCTACAGGAGAAGACACAGATTCCACTGCCAGCCGCAAGAAACACACCTTCAAGATCTTCAAGAAGCAGAGGAAATAAGGGCTACATGGACTACAGGCTTTAAAGCTGTTGGACTGAATTCCTCCGATTGTTTTTTGAAAACAAGTTTGTGGTCAAATGACGGCGCACTTTGTTGCCGTTGCATCTTTTTCTGTAGGTACAAAACCTACTATGAGGATGGAGACTGTGGGGGAAACACCAGTTGTTCAGTTTTATCTGCTTATTTGGTCATCGTTGAATATATGGGGAATAGGTAGGTTTGTATATTGGAATGTAAAGTATTATTTATTCTGCAGGAAGTTAGTGCCAGTCTCAAAGGGAAATGTGTCTCCCAGTTGGTTTTCCTTTCTTGTTCTATGATCTATAACATTTTGCATGTCTTCACTTTTGTTTGACTGTTACTCGAATGCTCTTGGTGTTGGCTTGGTTCTTGTCGCTAGCCTGCTTAGACAACACTTAATGTTTTGTTAATTACTACCTAACCACCTCGCTTACAAAAACCCAAAGTGAATGCGCGCACCTTTTATTTTCATTGAGTAATTTGTTTTTATTGATGGTGATACGTTTTTTCTGTCTTGTGTTGTCTTTGTCTTCTTGGCAGAGCTGATGACACATCAAGTAAATCCTCCAACAGAAGAGTTGTAGTAGAAAGCTTTTCTTTAAATTCTACTTGGAGTTTCAAAAGTGTTGAACAGAGCACGGCAAAAACAGCTACTTGCAATATCTATATTCTTCAGACAACGGGGATTAAACAGGCTTAATAATAGCGTACAACCTTTTGAACTTGAATGACATCGAGCTTTTAATCGAGTTGGACAAGAGGTAAATCTCCTCCGAGTTAATTAAGGACCTAGAAGATCGCAGCTTTAGACCTTATGCTTTAGTTTCAAGAGTTTAAGTTGAGTGCATGTGGGCATGAGAGAGTGAGAGAAATATGCTGTTATGTAGCTTTTTAATAAAATGTCAAAAAGTTTAACCTTATTTTGACGCAGCTCCACTAAAGCAGGATGTGAACAGATATCAGGGTGAAATTGTCCATGTGTTATACAAGAACCCTTTTGATATAAGGCAGCAATGATACCAAACATATACATACCAAATTTAAATACCAGAGACTGCAAGACAAATACACTTAACGTTGTTTTAGTAACTTTAAAATTTAGATGATAGAACATTAGAACGGTGTATACCATAAAGAGCTTTCTATGAATCAAAGAGCTAAACAGAAAACATCTGGAGTGCATTTTTATTCACAACTATCAAAGAAAAACCAAATATGTTTGGATATGACAAATTCTACTCTAAATTAATATGAAGTCGTCTAAAAGACCTTTCACTTAAATGTTTCTTTATTGAATTGGGTGCAGAATTAGCGTCGACTCTGGCTGCTGCTGTTGTATGTCTTACTGTATTGTTTCTGATTCTGTGATTGTTCAGGAAGGAAATAAGGAACTCCTCGGCAGTGAGTAAGCATGGACTGAGTGCTGGTAAGGGCTATAGTTACAGGGCAACAAGTCTTGCTCTGTGTTAGATAAAAGTTTCTTTATGTAATCCATCTTTTATGGAAGATTCAGTTCGACAAGTTGTGGAAGCAGAAGTCACAGTGCCTCTGTATTTGTAGTGTGTCCGGTCCTTTGAGCCCCTTACACACAGAACACAAACAACCATGATATACAGTCTGTAATGTATATTCTGGGTTTGAACACTGAATGTCCAAGGGTATTGTTGCTGTAACCGTACAATCAGCACAGTATGTTTACATTTGTTACAGATAATTACTATCCTCCGATTACATTGTGCCAGTTTTAATATTGACCGCTTCGTACGAGCACAGAACTATGCATCAGTAGTTGTAGGTGATTTTTAAAGTAGAAGAGACGTCAGGACATGTAGGGCGTTCCTGACCGATGAACAACCAAAAGTGCTGCAAAAGACACAGAGGGCATCTCCCCCAGCCTCATAATGTAACAGGTGGTTTGGATTAAGATGTGTTTCAATACTTTATTTTAGCAACCAGTTAAAAAATATATATATATCAATTTCCTACTGGTCCTTTTTTATGGTGTCATTTGTACCTCTTTTGCACGACAGAGCTGTATATGAATTGCACCGTCTGAATGTGCGCTTGTGTGCGTCTGTCTGCTCCCAGGAAAATGCACTGTCATGTTGATGCATGTCAACTGCTGTAACGAAACCTATATTGGGTTAAAAGAGAGGATCAGCTTAAACTCTTTACTTCCCCCCATCTCCCTTTTTTGCTTTTGGCTTCTATTTATGAAAACCTGCAGTATATTTGTACAGAGAAAATGATCATTTTTGCATCTTACGTGATGATCTCGACTTTTATGGCACTCCTGCATGATAGCAATAAACTATTTTGAATGAAAGATGAGTTGATTATTTCACTGATACCACACTGCATGCAACACACCATCTTAAACTTTCATTTTCATTTGTAGACTTACAGAGAAGTTTGTTCTCTTTAGTGTAATTACAATTTCACTGAAGTTTAATTCAGATGAAAGGTAGAATCAGGCTTATTGACGTCTTTCTTCCTTTGCTTATCTTTTGGTAAATTATTAGTACTTCATCCAAATTAGAAGCACCACCTTACCTGCACTGTGTGTACAGTGATGGGTGGGGCTATCTGCTGTTAAATATTTACCTTTGCTTCCATGTCAGTGAGGTGGAGCAGGATGATTGTCCGGTTCTTGAGGCTTCTTGTTTCTCTGGAGCTTGAAAATCTTTAATGGAGAGCTCAATGAAAACACAGTGTGAGCCATGGATATCATTACAGCGTATATACATCTGTCTGCTCTGTCTCAGTGTGCAGGTACAGTAAGTGCATTTTTCCTTCATCATCTCTTAAATGGTCTTGTTTTCTAGTTTATGTCATTAGCATTTACAAGCATGGTTTTCTCTCTTACACAGATGGTCTTAGGTTTCAACCAGGTTATTCTCCTGGATCCTCCAGTGAAGGCTTTGCCAGGCCAACGTCTGGTTGTATTTTACACTTGTAATGACCCTGCCACAGTGCAGCTAGACTTAGTAGTATATTTTGACACCGGCAGCAGTCGCACACTTGAGCTAACCCACTGGAGATGTGACCCCTATGGCAAGACATTAAAGACTGTAGAGCTGAACCTCCCTGATTGGTTGGTTTATCAAGCTGATGGGATTGTTCCTGACTCCCAGTGGGCACTGAGTTGTATGCTGGATGCAGCAGTCACATACCCTGGATTTGATGACACTGAAGAGGTGGTTACAGCTCAGGATGTGGCTTACTTGGAGCCAATTCCTTTCTTTGACCGGCCTGTGAAACAGCATGAGCTCTGCATTGCATGGAGCATGCAAATGCTAAAGTTAACTCAGCACTTTTTGAAGAAACAATGCCATTTCGAGCAAGGTAAGGTTTAGAAGTCAGGTTAAACTGTGGACGTTTTGCAATTAAAATCACAAATATTGTAGCTTTTGTAAATTCTGAATTTCAGCACCATCTTCTGGAGAAAAAAAATTCTAATGTATAATTTTAGATTGGGTCAAATGTGTGCATATAATACGGTATTGGTCTATAAAGGATGGATGTATTTTTTAAAAGTTTGGTGCAATTTAACTCTTGTAGTCTTCTTTTTAAAAAACTGTGTATTTCAGAAGCACATTTGCTGTCATCAATATTTGCTTCGTCTGAAGAAAACTTTGGCATCTCAAAGATACTGGCCCCGTACAAGAATAAAGCTCTGGAGTATTTGCGCGTTAAAACCATTTCCTCTTCAAGGTAAGACAGCACTAATGACGCCAACCTGAAACCAATAGCTTCTAATTTTGGTGTGTTCAGGGTAAATGGGCCTTATTTTTTTGTCAGGTTTATGTTCTCTTTGTGGATATGGTTGACCGGACACTGCCAAGAGAAGATGTGTGGATTGTTTTATCATATAGACTCCAATGATGACTACACCACACCGACACTGTTACTCACAAAGTCAGGTAAAATGTAAACCATTTTCTCTCATCTGTCACATTCTTGTGTTTTTACACCATTATGTAGACTTACATTAGCTTCTCTCTGTCGCCTCATGTGCAGGCCGGCTTCACATCCAGATGAGTGGAGAGTCAGAGGAATCATTTGCATTTCTCTCTCCATTCAAGGTGCCTTTAAGTGAGTGGTGCCAAATCAGTGTGAAGGTGCTTAGAACAAAGGTGAGTAGACTGTCTTTGACTAAAGATATCATTACAGTCTCAGTGGTGTGTCCAGCCTTTTTTTGATCAGAATGATTTTAAAGGGATGGCGTGAGGTGTGTGTCTGACACCTATGTCTGAAAAGCATTTTTTTATCAATTCATGATCAATCATATTAAACATTTATTTTGTATCATACAGATTTTATATTCCTGCTTATAGTTTTTTTTTCTAATTTAAAAGTACAACACAACAGAGTGGCAACGTCAGACTGTATAAAACATGGACGGAGTCTCAGAGACATCACCAATTGTTTTCTGAAGAGGCGTTATGAAGTTAGTTGCACTTCTGCATTGGTTGGTTGGTTTTACAGTTACACCTCTGACCAAGCAAATAGCCAGTTAAAGTTAAATAGGCATCAGAGGTGACCAATTAGATTTCTGAGTGGCCTATGCAACCCCTGGCTATCCTCCTGGACACGCCCCTGTACAGTAAGTCAATTATTGTAATTATGAAAATGAATTGGTCATTGTCTCTGCATCTCAGGTGACTGTCTCCATGGTGTGTATAGATGAGGAGCAGAGAAAGGATTATTCTGCAGATTATATGTAAGTCTACTAAAGACAACATCTGAAATAAAGATGCACTCAATGCTTTCCTTCTACTAAATATGTGAGTACTGTGTCTTGCAGCTCTAAGAACAATATCCTGCTGGATGACACAGAGGGATATTTTGTGATTGGTGGAAGTAAATTCATAAAAGGTGTGGAAGGTTATTATGGACCAATGGTTTACCACCGCAACAGAGTGTTGCCTCGGAGCACGGTGAATATAATGCACCTGACAACAGTTCATGTCCAGGTCAACTATTCAATTAATTAAATTCTCATCATTTGCTTTTCTCCAGTCTGAAGTTGTTGTTCCAGATGTTATCAGAGCTGTGAATCTTACTGGATGGTTGCATACATGTCGAGCTTTTCGTCTGGAGATGAGTGTGAAGATCAGAGGATATTCCCTTCAGGCCAATCAGGGGGAAGAGTTTGGTAGGTGGCTTACACTCTATATATCCACTAGATGGTGCTAAAAATACTTCAACTCAATGTTTCTTAAAAGTGCATATTCCACAGTGCTGCAAAATACACCGTCTGTTGTTCATTTCAGACACCTGCTTTGATGCTTTCCATGAGATGATGGTAAAGAACAGACTAACATCAAAACCACTGTTTGAGCTGTGGGAGGAAACTGTCCCTCACAGAAGGCAAGCTGTGAAGCTGGCAAAACATTTGGCTTTCAAACATGGTGAGAAAAGATATTACTATATATACTATATACTATAAATATTACTTACAAAATGACTGTATATATATATATATGTGTGTGTGTGTGTGTGTATGTATAGGGGGAAAGTCACAATAATTACATTTACATTACATTGACTTGATTAAATTGGTTGCATTTCTACACCTCTACATTTATCTGATGACTGCTTTCAAAACTTTCTGTATATGCAGCATCTACAAATCTGAATCAGATGACAGGAGAGTAGATTAATGATGTTATGCTGTAAAAGAGAACCCTCTTTCATAATTCTAAACACAATTTCCCAACTTCACTAAAATTTAAAATACATTTCAAAAAATGATTCTGAACTGAACTATACAAAATGACTTTAATTTATAGAGCTGGGTAAATATTTGTTTGCTTACGCTACTTATTACAGACTGATCATGTTATGTGTCTTGAAGCACTACATTACTTTTCTTTTGTCACCTACAGTTGAAAGAGGAGTGAGTCTGGGAGCTGTGGGCAGAGCCCTGTACTCCTTATCACTGCAGAAGCTGGGCAGAGGAGGCAGAACTGGAGACATCAGCAGAATATTACCATTGCTGCTCCAAGCTGGCTGCTTAGCTGATAACCGAGCTCTGCATATGGCATCTGTACTCTACAACTCTGGATTGGGAGTCAAGAAACAGCCCTATAAGGTGTGGCCTACTTGGAGGGTTATGGTAAAACTATTATTGAGGTGCAGAAATCCAGTTTTTTTTTTAATATCTCTGATGCCTTGTGTTTGGTTCAGTCTTGGCTCCTAGCCCTGCTGGCAGCCAGAAAGATGATCTGTCAGCCATAATGCATCTTGGGCAATGGCACCTGCACCACCAGGCCTCCATGTCCTCCCGCAGACCCAGCTGTGGCCCATGCATATTATGCAAACATTGCAAAGCAGAAAGGCTTCGGCCATCATAATCCACACCAGAGCAGGTAACGCATGCATTTGTAACTGGATACGTTTGGTGCTTTCATTCTTTAAGTAATACAGCTGTGTTGTAAGTTTGACTAAATTGGTGCCTGGGGGCTCCTTTTTAATGACTCTATCTGTCACTTAATCTATTTATGAGTAAGGGAAACGTGAACCTTTTATTTCTACATACACAGCATTTGGCATACTTCTTGGGATGAAAGCAGGAAAAATGGTCACACAAAAGATCAGAGAATACTGTTAATGAAGTGTTTTATGTCAGACACAGTTATTCTAATAAAGATATATGGAAAGAAAATCAAAGCCGCTGTGGGCTTATTTCAGCATGTGAGCTGATATGCGACACGTTTTCTGATCCTTTTATTTCGTCATTAGTTTTCAGATTCCTACTGTATGATCAAAATGTTTTCCCTTGATTGAAGTGATGTCATTAGCAGCTATGCGCATGTCCTCTTCATCATACAGATGGTCTTGGCCTTAGATGGGGTGATACTTCTGAATCCTCCAGTGAAGGCTCTGCACACACATTCTGTATGTGTCCTACTTTTGTAATGGACATGCAACAGTTCAGCTGGACTTACTTGTAACTTTTGAAACTGGCATTACTGACATAGTCCAGCTGAACCACTGGAGCTGCAACCCGTATGACCCTCAAATAGAGGTTGTTCGGCTGAACCTGCCCGATTGGTTGGTTTATCAAGCTGATGGGATTGTTCCTGACTCCCAGTGGATGACGAGTTGTATGCTGGAAGTAGCAGTCACATACCCTGGATTCGATGACACTGAGGAGTTGGTTACAGCTGACAATGTGGCAACTTTGGAGCCAGTGCTTACTTTGAACGGCTGTGAAACAGCATGAGCTGTGCATTGCCTGGAATATGCAAATGTTACGATTAACTCAACATTTTTTGAAGAAGCAATGCCATTTTGAGCAAGGTAGGGTTAACATTGTACACTGAAAAAACACACCATGAGTCACAAATAGTGTTGCTTCAAAATTAGATTTTCGATTTCAAATATTCATGCTGTACTGGTCTGTGAAGCATCCTAGTATTTATAGGTTTTGGGAGGGTAAGAGAAATCTTACGGTGTTCAAATTCTAACCCCAACACGATTTTTGTCATTTAGAAACAGTACGCTTGTTGTCTTCAGTTTTTGCTTCAACTGGAGAAAACTTTGGCATTACTAAGACACTGGACCGTATAGCAATGAAGTTCTGGAGTATTTGCGTATGAAAGCCATTTCCTCTCCAAGGTAAATATATATTATTATCAGCTTATTTGATGCTAACAGAGGCATTATTTAGGATAAGTGTTCTTTTTTTGTCTTTGTGAGGAAGTGATGGTGAGATATAGCTACGATGGGAGTCTAATGATAAAGAATCCACAACTTTTCTGGCAGTGTCTGTTCACAATATCAATAGAGAACTACACTGACAAAGACAAAAAAGAACACTTATCCTAAATAATGCCTCTGTTAGCATCAAATAAGCTGATAATAATATATTTTACTTGGAGAGGAAATGGCTTTCATACGCAAATACTCCAGAACTTCATTGCTATACGGGTCAGTGTCTTAGTAATGCCAAAGTTTTCTCCAGTTGAAGCAAAAACTGAAGACAACAAGCGTACTGTTTCTAAATGACAAAAATCGTGTTGGGGTTAGAATTTGAACACCGTAAGATTTCTCTTACCCTCCCAAAACCTATAAATACTAGGATGCTTCACAGACCAGTACAGCATGAATATTTGAAATCGAAAATCTAATTTTGAAGCAACACTATTTGTGACTCATGGTGTGTTTTTTCAGTGTACAATGTTAACCCTACCTTGCTCAAAATGGCATTGCTTCTTCAAAAAATGTTGAGTTAATCGTAACATTTGCATATTCCAGGCAATGCACAGCTCATGCTGTTTCACAGGCCGTTCAAAGTAAGGCACTGGCTCCAAAGTTGCCACATTGTCAGCTGTAACCAACTCCTCAGTGTCATCGAATCCAGGGTATGTGACTGCTACTTCCAGCATACAACTCGTCATCCACTGGGAGTCAGGAACAATCCCATCAGCTTGATAAACCAACCAATCGGGCAGGTTCAGCCGAACAACCTCTATTTGAGGGTCATACGGGTTGCAGCTCCAGTGGTTCAGCTGGACTATGTCAGTAATGCCAGTTTCAAAAGTTACAAGTAAGTCCAGCTGAACTGTTGCATGTCCATTACAAAAGTAGGACACATACAGAATGTGGTGTGGCAGAGCCTTCACTGGAGGATTCAGAAGTATCACCCATCTAAGGCAAGACCATCTGTATGATGAAGAGGACATGCGCATAGCTGCTAATGACATCACTTCAATCAAGGGAAACATTTTGATCATACAGTAGGAATCTGAAAACTAATGACGAAATAAAAGGATCAGAAAACGTGTCGCATATCAGCTCACATGCTGAAATAAGCCCACAGCGGCTTTGATTTTCTTTCCATATATCTTTATTAGAATAACTGTGTCTGACATAAAACACTTCATTAACAGTATTCTCTGATCTTTTGTGTGACCATTTTTCCTGCTTTCATCCCAAGAAGTATGCCAAATGCTGTGTATGTAGAAATAAAAGGGTTCACGTTTCCTTACTCATAAATAGATTAAGTGACAGATAGAGTCATTAAAAGGAGCCCCAGGCACAATTTAGTCAAACTTACAACACAGCTGTATTACTTAAAGAATGAAAGCACCAAACGTATCCAGTTACAAATGCATGCGTTACTGCTCTGGTGTGGGATTATGATGGCCGAAGCCTTTCTGCTTTGCAATGTTTGCATAATATGCATGGGCCACAGCTGGGTCTGCGGGAGGACATGGAGGGCCTGGTGGTGCAGGTGCCATTGCCCAAGATGCATTATGGCTGACAGATCATCTTTCTGGGCTGCCAGCAGGGCTAGGAGCCAAGACTGAACAAACACAAGGGATCAGAGGATATTAAAAAAAAAACTGGATTTCTGCACCTCAATAATAGTTTTACCATAACCTCCAAGTAGGCACACTTATAGGGCTGTTTCTTGACTCCCAATCCAGAGTTGTAGAGTACAGATGCCATATGCAGAGCTCGGTTATCAGCTAAGCAGCCAGCTTGGAGCAGCAATGGTAATATTCTGCTGATGTCTCCAGTTCTGCCTCCTCTGCCAGCTTCTGCAGTGATAAGGAGTACAGGGCTCTGCCCACAGCTCCAGACTCACTCCTCTTTCAACTGTAGGTGACAAAAGAAAAGTAATGTAGTGCTTCAAGACACATAACATGATCAGTCTGTAATAAGTAGCGTAAGCAAACAAATATTTACCAGCTCTATAATTAAAGTCATTTTGTATAGTTCAGTTCAGAATCATTTTTTGAAATGTATTTTAAATTTTAGTGAAGTTGGGAAATTGTGTTTAGAATTATGAAAGAGGGTTCTCTTTTACAGCATAAATCATTAATCTACTCTCCTGTCATCTGATTCAGATTTGTAGATGCTGCATATACAGAAAGTTTTGAAAGCAGTCATCAGATAAATGTAGAGGTGTAGAAATGCAACCAATTTAATCAAGTCAATGTAATGTAAATGTAATTATTGTGACTTTCCCTATACATACACACACACACACACATATATATATATATACAGTCATTTTGTAAGTAATATTTATAGTATATATATGTATATATAGTAATATCTTTTCTC